CTGTTCCTGCGACCGTTGATGTGTTGATCTACTCACCGAATTTTGCAACTTAGTTCCAAAGTTTTGAACACCGATCGAGATGGCATCATCAGTGTGTAGTGGAAAATGGCCTGTAAGTAACTGATTTTCTGGGAAATTCGGAGAAGAATGATGACGGCTATATACTGACCTTTGCGTACGATTCGAGCGTTACTAATCGAGCTTAATCTGAATTAACCGCGTGTTACTGTTCTTAAGAGTTCTCGGACCGCTCTCGTTGGTTAACGTGAAGCTTGCTCCGACGTAAGTTAGCTTCTCCCAATCCCACTGGTAAGTGGCCGTACCGCTAATTGAACCTGGTCAAACAGGTTAATGAAACGCGTTTGTTACCCATCTGAAAACACAGCACTCCGCGACGTCTTTCGACCTTATTTTCTCCCATCAGGTACAGATAACAGACCTTGAATCCAGAACTGTTGTGATGTTAGTTTGGACACCTACCTTTTATCTAATCACGGCGGGCAACGCTTGGCGCTACGGTCATTTTATGATACTTTTCCTTCGTAACACGGTGGCTAAAGGGGCGGAGGGCTAATTTACCAATCCAATGGTATCTTGTTTGATGCTTGCTATATCCACCGGATGCTATCAAATAAGGCCAAAACACGTCGTGGTACAGTGTTTTCGAGCGAGCGACTCCAAATTTCTATCAGCCACGGTCCTAGTTGTCGAATTGACCAAGATTCACTTCACTGCAAATCGTGGTTATCTGTAGACCTTGAATTAATTAAGATAAGGGAAAATATGTGCTTATAATAGTTTTTCTGATCATATTCGAAAATTGAAATCAAAAATGACAGGCACAAAAGTTGAACAAGGAATTAATTGAGACAAACCTATCGAAGGCGGGCTCCGGAGTAATGGCATTGTTCGCGAGCGGCATGGATTGAGGTCCCGACGTCAGGTTGGGACTTACTTGGTATTGAGCTAGCCTTGTCATGTGGACGAGCTGCATGAAGAGTGGAACAAAATAGGCTGCCTCAGCCGGGTGTATCAGTGGTAGGAGTGGGTGCGGAACCATTCCCAGCCTTCGTTATAAAAGGGCTGTAATAAAGTGAGAAATTGCGTGACTACGTTGTGTGTATGGTAGGTGGTATTATCAAGTTTCCAACGATTTTGATTGCCATTTCTTTGTATGGGGTTGTGGAAGACTTGGAGGTCATAAGCTGGCTGGTATGCTAGAGGTTGGTTGGCAGGTGTACTCGGAGGACAATTTGTGCTGGTTCTGGTAGGCTTGGAGTAGCATGTTGCGCTGCTACTGTGAGGGAGTTGCTTACACACAGTTTTTAACAATGCCGAACTTCTTTTAGCTGCATATTTCGTGCATAGTTCAGCCGTCGAGTCATTAAGGCTTTAGCAGGGCGATAGTTTTGTGTTCACTATATCATTTTAAACATACGAAGGCGCACCTCAGTGTTCGCATCTGTCTTCCGGTATCTTTAATTGGGCTCTAATAAATCAGCATTTCTCTATCTCTATACATCCCTGTACTTACTAAACTGATTTATTTCGAGACCGAGTCCGCGGTCCGGGCTACTGGTGACCGTTAAACTCGGTTGGCCTACAGTGGGCATTGAGATAGAACTTGCGGCAGAGTGACTGGATGTTACAACTCTTAGGTATGATTTGTCGAGATCCACGTTGATCGCTTTAGTTGTCCTACTTGGTGTCCTCTGGCTTTTTGGCCATTCCGGCGCCACTCTGAGAAGGGATCTTTGCATTTCCAATTTGGCTTACACTGCATCTCATTGAACTGAATATGCTCAGTAATAGTGTGTTGGCTGTTAAAGTAGTGATCTGTCGGTACTTCGATTGAGAATCACAAAACGTCGGAAAACAGTGACTCGGCGTTTTCTTTTTTATACGCAGACATTTCCAAACGACTTCGAACATTTTACAACACTCAGTACTGTTGTTTTTACTTTATCCCAATTGAATCTGTCTAGTATATTAAGTTACGTTTCTTGATCTGCTGTTTATCAATTTACCCCTGTTGCGGTGCGGTCATTAGGTTGTGCTGCCTTATCAAGCTGAACAGGATCAAGAATTTCCGATGCGCTGCTGATACAATCCATTGAAACTGTACGATCTTTAAAGAGTTCGAGGGAAGTCAGTAATTTTTTCCTTTCGTCGAGCTCTTAGTACAAGGATCAGACTTTAGCGGTAAGTGCTGGGGTAGAGAAATCTAGTGGCTTTATTAGCGCATCATATTTTAATCGCTCGGGCCGTCGCGCATGTACATTTTCCTCTGTTAATCCCACAGCGGAAACAAGCGAACAACTTTCGGAAAACAATTGTTTTCAATTAGTTCATCATCAGGTCATTACAATATTGTGCGCTAAGTTGAAAAACTTGAGATTACTCTACAGGAGAACAATTGGTTAAACAATTCAAAGTGGTTTACCAACATTGGTCAGATGACTAAGTCACGGATATCATATGAGTGCTGGGATGTGATCCCTTCCTTTCGTTAGTGGCTGGCCAAAGCATTTGTAGCGATAGAACCATCTTCCTTTGAATGCTAAACTGGATTCATCAGTCCTATGCATACCGTCTCCACGGTAGCAAGCAGACGATTCCTTGTTCTGTGATTCCGGTGTGATTGTCGTCTGCGTCCGAACTTTTTGGGTCCATAGCAAACTAGACGTATCAGTGGTCAGAGTAATGTTCTAAAACGCAATGAAACCTACCTACCCTGATTTGACACCGCTGCATTGCACATCCGTCGAAATGCCACACGCTGTCAGGCCACATATTGGTTCTAATCCTGATGACTGGCCGGTGGGTTGTTCGCAGCGGAACGACACAGGTCGGCACAAAGGCAGAACCCATCGACCATTGCCGGCCGAGATGAATGGTCAATTGGTCCGGACGATGCGTTGGTGCTAGGGATGAACTGTAGACTCAGATGCAAAAGTGACTGCAGCTACCGAACAGGTCAGAAAGTGACAGGAAAGGGCTTGCTTTAAAGCCCTGAGTGTGCTTGTTCGAGTAAGAGTAAATACTCTTATATATATATACTCTGAAAGCGTGTGGTTGTGCGCCATCGTCACTGCTTTCATTCATATACGTTTGCTTAAACACATTCTGCTCCCACTAATGCAACCACAACCTGGACCTGGACTATCCCTGTTACCATCTACTTCGGATGACATATCTCCATATTGGATCTCCATCGATCTGCCTCATCAGGTCACGCAATCCAGTCCAAATCAACCCTCGCATACATGCCAAACGCTCACAGCAGACCTATATCTGTCTTATGCATGATAGTAGTGATTAGATGTTGTGACGAAAGCTTATGGCTTGTTCGGCTACAACGCTGCATATATTCGACGTGTGCTGTATTCATGCATGGGGACCTAGGGTTTCTTCAGCCACCGAATTACTTACCCTCATTATTTCAGCCTCCCTGCTACTTTTGGAAGTAACCGATATATAGAGGTATAGACATATTTGAGTTTGCCAGTTGCTCTCGGACACCTTCCTGCTATAGCTCCTTTTTCGAAGTCGTCGCGAATTTCACAAACTGCCCTCATGGCTTTTGATTGCTGTGGAACACGAAATAAATCATATTGAGAACGAGTTTCCTCTCACCTGAAGTACCTACTTCAAATGTCTGGTAGAAAAGAAAAGTCATTTACCCTGCTATCTTGCGACAATAAGTTTGTGGATAAAAGTACGCTCTTTAGAACTATTGTGCATCCGCTCTACGAAAGTTACGAATATGTAACAAATTGGTATAGTGGGAGAATATAAATTAGCAGGAACTTACAACATAATAACTTATGCACCTTTTTCCATCAAATTGTAATTTCTCTTTCATATTTATCTGCATTTAGGCACTTTTTATTTGCCTTTATACTTTTTGTCTAGCGCTCATCACATTCTTCATTTTCGCTATATGTGTCTATTTATTTAACCAAGCAATTCCTTGGCTAATGGGTAGAAGCTTCGAGTAACATTTCAAAAATGCTGCGTTCTGGTCGCACGCCTGCTACCTGTGCTTAACCGTTAGTACGAAACCGGTGGTGGAGTACATTGTTTCCAGCGGATAACGCTCATTATTTAAATGCTTTAGCTTTTTGCTGACTTGATGTACTAATTGACTCATGAGTACTAAATGGACGACAATTGTGTAATTGCGGTGTGCCTAGATTGTAACGCAGTTCCGGTTCATCCTGAAACATTTAGACATTCTTTGGATTACTTTGATCTTGTCTGGGCCTACATGTCACAAACCCGTCATTTACCATGTGATCCAAAATCAACCATTTACTTTCTAGCAGTTGTGACAAGCGCGACCCATGGGGCTGTTCAGCTTAGTGATGAGAGTTTCTTATGATGTTACTTACTTCTTCTGTTCGAGTCCAGGTCCCGGATAAAACAACAACGAGTGCATTTATGATGCAAGATATTTAATGAGTACAGAGATTGCATTTCCCATAGTTTTGCCGATAAATCTTCCTAACTTCGAAATTCGCTGTTATTCCCTTCACTTTTTCACGATTCTGTTTGTGTCCTGGAGGTAGCAAAATCTCCCAGTCAAATCATTTTATTTTAAGTAGCAATTTTTTCCATTGATGCACGATGCACCAAGTCGTTTCGGTAACCTACACGTCCATGACATTCTGTATGCGCCAACCTCTCCACAGATCGGAGCTCGATTGCACTGTGAATCGTGGTAGCCGAAATGGCGGCTCCAGCAGTTTTATTGTCTTGGGTTGATCTAAAACTATCGGTTGATTTTCACCCCACTTGTACCGTTTCGGTAGCAAGTTTATCAACACACTTTTTTATCAAGCCGTTTATCTCTGACTTGGCCGTCGTTGGTGGTGGCGAGGAACGTAGTCGTTTTGATCGGAGCCGCAACGAAAGCCATGTTTTCTTACAAACTTAGTGTTCCTTTCTGTATAGTTTCTCTTGTCCACACTGTCTCCTCCTTTTGTCTCGCATCACAGACATCATTCGGAAAAGGTTGGGCCCAACTGCTCTCTCTAGCATCAACCAATATCGATTGAGCGCTTGGTTAAGTCACCAGGAAGACTCGCATCGGATTGTGTTTTTTGTCTGTGATTATACGCGAAGCTCATCCTGGAACCGTTTATGCATTCGTCAAGCGGATTGCGTTTTAGTGCTTGCCTTGGGTAACAGTGATCCTTCCCGTATATCTGCCCTTGAACTCACTCTGAAGAATCATCCAACCAAGGTTAGTGTATTCCGTCATTGGCTCTCATTTATGAAATATTTATTTTTCGCTGCATTTTTTAAACAAGTGACTCTAGTTACAACACACTTTTCTTTTTCTCTTGTATATTATTATACCCTATTCTCTTATTCATGGTATCACTGAGATAGCACATTTAGTTCACATTGTCCGTTGTGTTTCTCTGGTCCGGCAATCCTCCCACTTTCGCTAACCGTCTAAGATAACGGGTGAATACTGTGCCATGAGTGCTGGCACTAGTCGCACTCACTTAACGATCGGCGTTTCAATGTATCTACTTCAACACGTCTACATGCCCTTAGTATTGTTGTGTTATCTGATAACTGCACTTTACTGTCACGCCTTCGTTTTCGACACGAATCGCGTGTTCTCCTTAAACAAAATACATATTGCAAAACACGTTAATCAACATACGGCCACTTTATAGACAACGGTGTTATTCATCAGCTTGCCCAGTGCGCATCACTAATCACCATGGGAACTTTTGCAGACAATTCGAAAGAAGTATCGCCAGCGTAACCATTATTACTGTTCTGTGTTTTTCATTCCTGTCCTAGTTGTACATTGCAGATGCGATTATTTCACCATTAGACTCATCCTTTTCCGCGTCAGTTCCGAACAACACATGGCGTATTCATCCACTCGTATCCGACCCGTTCTTCCGGGATTAATGTCACTTTAGACGAATACCATTTGAGTGATCTATCATTCGATGCTTACGCATGTCTTCTGGAACCTTGTTCCAGGTTTGTTGCTGACGCATGCACTCAAACATCGTTACCTGTAAATATCTGCTTGTACCATACCTTCTCGTTAGAATTTACCGAGGACACCGGTGGATCAATGAAATCCGTTCCGCCTTTTACCTGCGTGCAGACCTACTTATACTTAGATTGGTACTTAACTAACACAGTACCAACTTTGGATCCTCTTAGTTGAACCAACATTGCTTTCCATACATGCGGCACAGCTTACCGAACTTCGTCTTCGTCCCGTTACTCCTAAAGCTTTATCCTATGATGGGTTCATCATGACTGCAGGACAAGTGTTCTCTCTCCTATGCTCAATGCAGTGAACATCATCAAGTATTACCTCATTTATCTGTGATGGCTAGGATGAATAACTGTCACTCCATATATCTCATGCCATGCGGCTCTTTACCAATAGGCAATATCCTTGCTATAATGTGTCTGTGGATAGTTGTCATGATTGTATCAGTTAACTGTGTCGTAAATCTGGACAATTTTTAGCCGAACTGACTGGGTTTCTAGACGCTTTACGTGGGTCGTGCAGTCACGCCTTGTTGCACCGGTTCAATACCGCATTGTGTACCGAAATTACGAACTCATATATATTTTGATATGATCCTCTAAACAGTGCCTCTACTTATCTCCATTGGCATTTAACGCGGATTTCTTTCCTATATGGAAGCGTCTGAACAAGGGACGCTTCGATCGATCTGATTTAAACAGAAAGGCTGCTTACGCCGGTTAAAACGTTTTAGTGTTTCTACCCTTGAGAAGCAGCATCTGGCCGAATAGCAAATATTTCATTATCTTTGCTTTCACTGTCTCTGGTACCATCTTAGTAGTGTTCCAATTTATGCGACACGCGAGTACAATGAAAACCACCGCGATTGATGTAGGGACTACGGAATATGGACATTTGGTCCGGTCTCAGTCACGTCGATTTAAACGTTGGGTTAAAAGTCTTTATTGAAATTCATTGACCACTCGTAGATTCACGTTATTATTCCAACCATGGAACTACCAATGTTCTTAATCCGGTTAACCATTTGGTTCCTTCGGACCGGCAAACAGTTTGTGTGCGTACATATCGCACACATGTTGATGGTAGATATTTCTCCGTCAAGTAGATCATAGTGACGATATTTCAGAAATTTCAACGTTCGTGCTAACTACAGGTAATTCAATCCGACATTGGTAGCGCCAAAGCTACCGACCCCCATTCTCGTACACCGGTTTACTGCGAAAGAAGAATGCTGAGTGAGAGTAGAGCAGACAGATTTTCTTCTGTCGTTGAGCTGTATATAATCTTTTTTAACTTCATCTGCTGCAGTCCGACTATAACGGTTCCCAGAATTTAAGCTCGCAATCAGACAGGTCGACCATTCAATTCTGTTCGATGTAATTACCCGATAATGTTTTCACAAGATATATATGTCTGTCTCACGTTTCTTAATCACGAAACACAAATGTCGCATCAGGTTCGACATTCAGCTCTCTGCTACCGTCCATCAAACCAGCTGAGCAATAGTCAATCAGATTAACGTTTGTTAGCTCAGGAGCTTCTGTTGGTTCATTCCCTTTGTGACTACTTTTATTCTAACTTTATATCATCTATTTTGACTCCCGTTGAATTTCGACTTTGATCCGCACTAATGCTGTCATTCAGTCTGTCTGTTTTCTTCTCTTATAATTGTACTTGCTTTTGAACAATGTTGGCATTGTTGCACTCAGCGCCACTGCTTTGACTACGGCTGTAGTCTTTTATGTCCGTTTTCTGAACTAAAACCTCAGCTAGAATCAAGCTTTCCAACATACTCACAATTCTGTCCTTGAATACTGTAGCATCCTGTATGGGGACATGCGTATGGGTGACAGTAAAGCTTTAGAAAACCTGCAAAGATAATTCACTTGACGCTTGTTCAATAAATCGTCCACCTTGATTTATCAAGAGCGCTGCCGGCAGCTTAAGCTCGAGTCCTTTTGGTTGCGATGATTGTAACATAACCTGATGCTGATACACAATCTTGTAAACCAAAAAACCTACTCCAATCTATGCACACTAAAATTGCAGCATAACTTCACTCGGAATCTACGCAACAACATCTGTAAACTGTGCCAAGTACCAGGACAGCTATCCGATCCAACTTCTTCCTCATCAGATACGCTGTCATGTGGAATATACCAGCCTCAAACAGGTCTTGCACAAACGTAAGCACATTCCGTATTCAGCTTCGAAATTTCCTGGACCAGGACTCGATAATGACCATGTACCCATGGGGTAAATCACCACACCAGTTCCCCTGGTATATGGCTAAATAGGTATGTAACCAGTGAAAAAAGATGGTACACAAAATAGCGACAAAAATGTTATGTGATTCCAAAGTACTTTGATGTCACACCCGTCAGAATACATATCTCACTCATGCACGAGCACGATCATTATTGTACTCATGATCTGTCCCCAATCCAGGAACAGCTTGTCGCACAACCGACAAATATACGTATTGTTCTTACTTCCCGAAGTCTATAGGTACGGTGTGAATCGTCTTTTCGCCGGGCTGACAGAATGCCATCGCAGAAGGGTCCACTATGAGCTGTGTCCCTTTTGTGTTGGAAATTTTTCCGGTCCATCACTAGCATTGCTTGCTAAGCGATTGGCAGTATCTCAATTATTCATTTGGTTAGGTTATATATGAAAGGAAGAGACCCCGGTGCAATAAAAATGAGACTGACGACCTTTTTTTGGTTTGTGATTCTCTCTTGCTGTCTGTCCCTCTGGAAGGTTTGACTGGCGTTTATTATCTGTAACCATAAACTGATCAGCATTGCCCCTACCACAGTTGGACCAATGACGGTTAGAGGTTGTTAGTTTGTTTTCCGAGTTGGCTGCTTTGAGTACGTTAGTTTCTTTTACCAGACTTTACAACATTATCGACGCCTATGACCACTCCTAAAAGCCTTTTTGAGGATTGAGCGTGCTAATTCTCCATTACCGAAAAGTAGGCTGATCTCATACACATAGTCCACACCAAGCAGTCATCTCTTGACAATGATATCCATGTACGTATAGTGGGACATCGTGAGGGATACATCCTGATAAACTCTACGATGAAGTTGAATAGAATCGACTTAGTGAGCGTTAGTTGTTCTCGAAAGGATTAATAATATTCCAAGACAGAGCGTAGAACGACTTAGGATATTTGAGCACGAGGCAAACCACCTGTTTATGCTCTTAACATGAATCTATTTTCTGGCATGTTTGTCGAACACAACGGAATCATCGACTTAGCCTTTTACTGTCTAACTTCCGGTGCAGTAGCCGGTCGAGTTGTCACAACCAGAGCTTCCACTGTCATCATACTTGATAGCAAGCATTCCCGTCTGATACAAATTATACCGTGAGCCACCCGAAGAGATAGTTTTGCGTTTCTCATAACAGTAGATAGTAATAAGCGCGAAAATAACTTCCTTTCAACGTCACGCGCATTTTGCGATACAGCAGCAACGGAGGCTATAAACAGAATTATGACGAAGCGATGCACTAGAGTTTGTCGCTGTTCGGAGTCCATGAATCACTAACGGTTTTGTTAGAATCGACCAGTGACGGGTGCAAATTTGCGATAGACGTTCATCATGATACGCGTGTTCAAAATTAGAACTGAACGTATCACCTACCTGAGCGTTTGTGGAGCTTTGATGTGCTCGTTCATAGCGTCTCTAATGAGAACTACATCCGGTGTGGTTGCATTGCACAGTAGCAGGTGCACTTCGTGTTAGAAGGCTTTCCTGATATCATCGGGACTGCAATCGGTAGGTACCTTGCTTTTAGTCACGAACAAGCAGCGTCTGGCGATGCTCTGTGCGCAATCCCTAGTCGCTGTCACCAGCTGGACTACGGCCTTACACTAGCCTTGCTCATTGTGTGCAGATGGGACACGTGTGCCAATAGTTAGTCCGGGAGGCTGCCCTTAGCCGGGAAACGACGAACGATGAGAAGCCGAAAATGAGCAAGAGTGTCGTTCAGGTGATACTCCTATGTTGCTCATTTCCATGGAGAGCATTGTTTTTGATCCAAATTTTACAATTTTACTGTGTAACCGGTTGTTTAGAACTATGAAACACTAGTATATAAGGGTAAAAAAGCTAATGTCTTACAGGTCCGGTAGGTTGGTAGACAAAAATAGTCAAGTCAACGAAAAGTGTGTCACTAAAAGTAAGTGCGTACAGATGAACTCACCAATATTAAGATAACAAGTGTGAATTCACCTGCTTAGAGTCTCAGAGCACACGGTTTCATTGCATTATGTAACCTCCTGGTTAACTTAAATTATGTGATGAAATGCAAATGGCACATTACGTTGTCGAGTCAACGTTGATCACAGACGCGGGGAGAGCGTCCCACGGCTGGCACACTCGAAACGAGAAGAAATTGTAACCACATTCCAACTGGCTATACGGTGTTGTCGGATTTAAATGATTATCTCTCAGGTTGGCCTTGTGGTTCGGTTCCAACAGCGAACGGCTAATGGGGTTTGGGTTATTCTGGATCTGGTAAACCATGATGAGGTCACCCCACAAGCGCTGATGTAAACTGCTGTACATTCCTTCCGTTTAAGTTGGTACTGCGAATGTTGTCTCTCCTGCGGTTGTGAATGCGCAATGAGGGCAACTTCTTTATCCCAGCTGCTGGACTGACATGTATAGATCCTAAAGTCGGTAAGATATATGACAACATTTCGGGTTGCACGTCCGAAAGTTTGGGTGCATTGTAGCCTCAGGGCGTTGGCCTTTTGTGCCCTGTCTTCTGTTGTAAAAGGTGGGTGGTCCCATTCTTTAATTTGAAACTATTTTATTAGCAACCATTGATAGGTAACATTGTCTTCATGAACAAGTGTGGTACCATGGTTGCGCTGGGTCGGAAATTTCCCCCTAGTTTCGTAGTCTTGGTTAGCTTTGTACGCATGTCATGCTGCATCCTTTATGGCCATGCATTTTCGAGTCTTGCTTCCTAGAATTGCCGGCATTCTTGCCTAACGAAATGGCTTGGTTTCTGATATTCTATTGACCATGTCGCTGAGTCAACGAACACAATTAAAGGCATTGCTGTTCGAGAACTCTCACACGGATACCTCGACGATTTCTTTCGGGACTTGGTAGCGCGTGCTTCTATGAGTTACTACCGAATGTTCAGAAGATACTCTACATAGCATAGTTAAACGTTATGACTAACTAGTCACTGATACCTAATGGACTTCATCAATATCTTGTCGACTATGAGCTCTTCATTTGTGAGCACTGAGTGCAATATCGACGGTTTGTTTGTTTTCCTGAATCTAGTGGGCGTGGTGACGTGATTGTGTAAGGCAACCTTAGCGGTATGTTCACGTAAGTCTGCTTTGAACTGTTCATTGGGGATACCGATACCTCCAGATCGTGTACATCGAGATCCCCTGTGATGAGGATATGGTTGCACCTAAGGCGTGGTACCCTGTTCAGAGTGAATACCAAGTAAGAATCCATTTCCGGAGTGGATGTTGGTGGGCGACAAATGACAGCTACAAGATATGCGTCATTGTCTCTTACTCGGAAACGGCACCATTGAGAGTCAGTGACATAATTCTCCTGATCATTGCAGTCAATACAGAAGAACCCACCTCCCCTGTTGGGACGGTCGTTCTAGATGAGTCATTATCATCAACAGCAGTACATCGGCCATTTGAACTGATGCTTCGGTGCCACAGAACCAATACAGTTTACGGAACGAGAGAGAGACGGGTGATTAGCGTGAAACCTTAACGCCCCACGCAAGCATTCAGTGTCAAGACGCTTACACCTTGTCAACAACATGCCGTCACAAGCAGCTGGCTATTGTGCAAGGATAATGCGGCATCAGCGAGACATCTCACTTGCTGCTTTCACAGCCTCGCCTCATAATCAGACATTACCCCGCAGATAACATGTTTCATGCAACATGTAATTAGTAAGGTTATTTGAAGTTTGTTTTATTATGTGTTTTCGAGTAGGATTCCATAATTGCACTCATAGATTGCTGGTGGTCGAAAAGTTTGGCCACATTTGACATGGAAACAACAGTTTTTACATGAGATTTACGAATAAACGGGCTCTCGCTTATCGTTAAATGCAACGGTATTTCGTCCCACGGATGTGCGTTCCCCACTCTTTAGTGGTGGGATTGGTTGGGCCTCATTCTAAAGCGATTTGCGAATACATTATACTATAGAGGAGAGTGAAGTTGATTTTCAGTCCTCGAAGCCAGAGTGGGTCAAGGTGGAAGTAAGAACGTCATCCCTCATAGCTAAGCGTTGATGAGCATTCCGTGGCCATTTTGCTAAGTGAGCGCTGGACTTATTCCAAACAAATTCTATCTGTCTTGCGTAGGTAGCTACGTATGATGGTGCAGCACACTAGTGTGAGTCGCACTGTAAGTTTGAGTGATTCAAGCCGTGTTTGGGATAGTGAAAATGTCCTTGTGATGTGGCTTGTAAGTTGTTTTGTCATCACTACTTGAAGTAGACTGTACTACCAGTTGAGGCTGCTACATTTCGAATTCCCAATTCCAGAACGGAATACGCAGTTGGGATCGGGGTACAAGTACGAGTGATGGATCATTCTGATATACTGCATCTGGTGCAGAGTATCTGAGATTTATCTGCATAAAACTTTGTTGCCCTGCTTTCGCTCCATTTGTTTAGGGATGATAGATACTTGCGTACATTCCTTGACCAAACCTCCAGGTGGTCAGATAGAAATGAGTTCAGTAGTTTGATGTCGTCCACTATTAAAAATGGGCGTTCATGTCTAATGTATTCACATACCTCGTTTATACAAATAAGAAAACCAATGAACCCAATACAATGCCCTACATGACACCACTAGTGAGATTTTTCGGAACAGAACACGGTTGACCAATCTGTACTATTTGTGCTAGGTCGTACAGGTATGAGTCGAACCAGCTCAATAGAGAATTGCTAGTCCCTAGGACTCAAGTACAGTCAACAATGATTTGTGCGGTATGCAGTCAAACGCTTTTTGCATATTCAGAAGCACAATGTTGATGAAGGCCATGCCATCATTGATTGTTGCTGTAACATGATCAAGGAGTTGTAACTGGCATGTGATACAGGAATATCATGTAGTAAACCCGTGTTGTGAACTGTTGAGTAGGTTTTATTTTGTCAGAAACTGATTGATGCGATTCTTGCTAATCTGTTCTAAAGCGTTAGCAGTTGTGGAAGTATGGTTTATAGGCCGCTAGTTTGACATCCGATCTCGTGGACCGCCTTTGTGTTTCGGCATAATTATGGAATTTTTCAATTGAGGTGGGAAGCAGTCCGTGCTTAATATCAGTTTAAAAATGTTCAACATGAAGGTGGATAGGTTTTTGTCATCTAACCTTATGGCTGCAAGGAGAATACCATCCGTTCGCTGTTGAAATATCAGCTTGTTGGATGTACTAGTCATCTGTATGTTCTTTACACTCAGAGGAAAGGTACAGAGTACATCTTTCGTTTTTATTGGAATGGGAAGAGTGGATGTAGATGATGCAGAGTATTAAACGAGACGGCAAAGTAGGATTTCACTGAATCATATATTTGGGCTATATCGTCCGTTGCCGCACCTTCATTCAGTAGCAGATTTGGAATTCCCTGTTGTGGTTTCGGATTTCTTCTTCTGAGTAATTGCATTGGGGCACGAACTTTCTCTGAATTCTTGATGTTTTGGCTTAATCCAGCCATTCTAAACTGTTGAGTTTGGTGTTCGTTTCATTAAGGTTTCGCGTATCTCAATAATTGTGGCGATGTCTTTGTTTTTGCACTGCGGTGATGTGAACTCCTTCAGCTTGGTAGTGTCTGTATTGGCCGTCAACTGGGTCGTGTTTACCTCCGACGTAGGTGCTGTAATGTCCATACATGTTATGCTATTTTTCGCGAATTCGCCTGTAGCTATGACCGAATATGCTGTGGTGAAGAATCGGTCCCAACGCATGGTCCTAAGCAGCTTGTCACTTGTGCTTTAATCCATAAAGTGCAATCGGGCTACTGGCTTCCTTATCTCTCTTGATATTTCATTTGGCCTGATATTCATGCTGCAAAGCATCGTATTGTTATCACATCCTCCTAATGCGTCATCAATTAATGCACAAACACATGGAATACCCGTGGTGAAAGCCAGACCCACAGTGCTATCTAACCTGGTATCCTGCTTAACGTTTTGAACACAACCATTGATTCAGACACATTTGATTATTACCGCAAGTCCTCCAGTTGTTGTAGGCCCATGCGACGTCGTTTACACATAGGAATTTCTACTTGTGTTGAGTGCCATAAACAGCTTTAATGGCAGACAACTGTTGAGATTCGTGCAGGGTGGCATCCGGATGTCTACAGCTGTAGTCCAGTAGCAGGTCATAGACCGGAATTGCCAACCGTAGTGAATCACCCAAATCACTGAAAGCTGCCTGGTTACCTGAGATTGCTATTATGCCATGGCGTAAATAGATTGAACAGCCACCACTGCGTCGGCGTAGACAATCCTTCTGAAATAACTTTTCACGCGGAACATTCAGTTGAAAGTCACATATAGCTGGTGTGGATCATGTTTGGGATAAAAACAATGTGACGAGTTTTAATGAACATAAACTTTGTAAGAAGATGCAGCCTGGATAATAACTAGCGAATATTTTTAGTGGTGGAATTGAGCAAAAAGAATGAGGCCAGATGCCTGATGTCGCACTGTTGCTACTTACATTCCATTTTAACCTATTGATCACATACGCGAGCCTCTGTGTTGTAGTTTATCTTTGTTTGGAGGCTTTTGTTTTTGACTTAATTATTTTCGATACCTGGCTCATTTCGCCACTACCATCGGTATTAATCATTTTTCTCCCACACTTCTTCTCCCGTTTATCTTATGTCCTTGCTTTTTTCGATGTACTTTGTCACTTATATCTTCCTACCAACCCATTTATTTGATTTTTTTATGGGCTCTGGCTTCCCTCTTTACAACGTCATGCGCTCCTCGTTTTTGTCCTTTTTTCTCTTGTTTTACTTCATGTTTAGTGATCTGCACTCACCCTCCGTTTTAGGTTGTCAAAGCCCTGGTTCTGATGTACACGTTAGCCACCGACTATCCTGCACAACGGCAGACTGCCACTTGGCTGAATGCGCGTCCCTGGATCAGTCATCACTACCACATTCGGTGTGAACCACGCGTCTTTACGGTACGCGATTCGGCTGACCTGGTCGCATTCTACTCCCACGTTTTTACCCGAGAACGTCCTAATCCACTGTCTGACTTCTCACGGCTTGCCCGATACCTCACAGGTGAGGCAGTCGGCTTGGTTCTCGGTGGAGGTGGTGCTAGAGGATGCGCACACATCGGGATCATTCGAGCATTGCAGGTCAGTTGCAGATGGATGTTTTTGTGCAACGCATCTAATGCTTTTTTCTCTTGCTGTGCATGATTTTACCGCTCTTGAATACCATAGAGACCCAGGCATTCATCACCGTAACGCCGTTTTAATTTTCAGTATTATTCCCTATCGCGGTTTGATGGCGTGCCCCTCTGAGTTCTAACACTTATATCACATCCAACCGACTTCGACTGGTAGATGTCACCATATGAGTGCAAGTAGAGTTTTTGTATCAAAAATCTCGTGTGAACTTGTCTAGATCTCCGACTTGTAGTTGTTCCACCTCCTATTTTCAATCAATTACGTCCACTTTCAAGCGATCATTCGTATTCGGTTCTGCATTGTTAGGTGTTTCCCCGTTCGAATTCTCACATCCCCCATTCGCAACCGCTACACTGCACCGTGTGAATCTAAAGAGGCTAAGATGCTTTACGCAGATCTGATAAGTGGCACGTGCCATGCGTGCATCACGATCGTGTTACGTTTTCTCCGGTGTCTGAAACGCATTACTTTTGACAACTGGTTCGCTGCTACCTACCGCGATCCATGTAGCCACCTCCAAACAATGCACATGTACACCAAACGTCATCTGCGACTAATCATGCTTGCAAGTCATTTTCTATGGTTCACCAACTGTTCCGAATCTTCCAAGGCTGATTGTGACCGGCCTCGATCTGGTCGCGATGGATCGCTACAACTCCACTCCCTAGTCAAATAACCTTGCTGCTTTGTGGATCATTCTTCCGGGTCAAATACTAATGATGCCATCAATCGAAACGGGCAGCGGGAGTGTATCATCCACCCACAAGTGTCCGTCACTCATACTCTTCCACTTTGCTTCATTTCTCGCCCCATCCCTTTGTTTCTGTCGTTGTCCAGCAACAGAATGGAGTGATCATCGTTCTCAACGCCGAGGCTGAATCCTCGCTTGCCGAGTGGATTTTCAAGCGAAACCGCTTTTACACATCCCAATTATTAACAATTAACAAGCCTAGTACATTTAGCGGTGCTAGACGCTTATCCACTGTGGTTGCCACCTGGACTCAGATTATGTACGTTCCCGTAGCCACCAATGAGACCTACCTCGAACTAGACGCACTACTGTGTAAGGTATCCAGCTCGTTCTCATTACTTGGAGTATGATTACTCACATAGAGCATTTGAGCTCCTCGGCGCTGAGTATTAGCACACAGACAAGAGTGAGCGTTTATTGTACTTGTGCACAGTTCATTGCTTCCAGTCAATTAACGAAGCACTAGAGAGGATTCTGTGCAACCTACTGTCTTGCGGCCTCTGATCATCAATGGATTCAGATGCATCACTTTGCCTTACCTTTATATTGCCTCTGCGTTCCCAGCCGTTCTGGATTTGCAACGGAAGTGCCGACGCCTACTTTGCTTCCTAATACTCGACAGTGGCGCATGCACCAACCTTAATTAAGGAAACTGGTAAGCGAGACTACAATGGTCACCTTTAGAAAATGAATTCTCTCTTTCTGAACACACCCAGTTCCGATGGAATGGAATCCCGCTCGTCATGAATGATACTTGAGTTTCTGCTTACGGTAACCGCAGCTGTTACTGCGTCCGACATTGAATATCTCGAAGGTTGCTGAACCTGTTGGAACCGGTCGAAAAGCCGTCTCCAGCGCTAAAAACAAAGCGACCAAACGAGCTATCAAGGACGAGTTGAGACCAATTCTGGGGGTCGACGTAGATCCGCAATAGAGGCTATCGAAACGGTCGCTAACTACTATATGCTCTCCCATTTACATCATGGGGTGATCTCGCTTTGTTAATCAATACGACTCCCCCATCTCGTTTTCTTTGTTTACAGATCTCCCTGATGTTCGTGGAACGCCGTGTCTGATACAGCTTCTTTGATTACCTAACCTTCTTAATCTACAGCTAAGGTGTCTCAACTTGACACGTAAGATGCGAACGCCTTCGCTACTGCAAACATTGAGTTTCAGAGAACAAATTCGGTACAACACTACTTGAGGGATCCAATCTATCTTTTTCGGCTAAAGCTTGTTGAACTTCTACCCGCTTGTTGGCTAGCTACTCTATAGTTTGTCTGATTGAACAGCCCGTGGCGTAAACGATCACAAGCCCATCTTGGTATCCGAGGGTACGAGTTCGAGCCTGCGTAGGGGACCGGACGATCCTTGCAGTATCCTTAGCCCACGCGCAACTGGTGGTGATTGCGCGGCAACGATGCGTCGATAGTGCGTATCGACGTACTGCTGATAACTTAGCTTTAGTACCAGCAGAACGGGTGATTTCCTCAAATCGTTTTGTCTAACTCATGATCGTGGCCATTTGTCAATAATGCATACACTCGGTAGTTGAACTCGTCTTTCATTGACATGGTAATGGTTACTATCAAGGAGGATGGAAGCATGAGTTGACGTAAAGAAAAAACAAATGAATTGCATAACAATGATCTTGGAACCGTCAGACGAGACATCGAACAGCTGGAAGCAGAAGGCCGGGTGCAAGGGCGTTGTTGTTTATTTTTCACCACTACGTTGAATAAAGTCCTTATTGAGGTGGCCACTTCTTGAGCGCCCGTCCAAGTAATTGATATACGCTAGTTCGTTTAGGTTTCTCGATCTACTTTTTTAATCATATCATCGACTGATGAACCTGGACCTTCACTCTGTCATGCTGAGCAACGAAAAGCAATACCGTTGGATGGTCTGCTGACATGCTGGGATCGTGGCCTAGTCATCAGTGCACTCGGTTCCATTTAAAGTAGCTTCTCAGTGGAAGGTGTTTGGTGGGTAAATTCAGACAGCCTCTTCAAATGAATGAGTGAACCATTTTTGAAGGAACCCTGCAAAGCCGTACAATGTAACATTTCTCCAATTTAATGTCTGCGGTCTGTCCTTTCTGTTGTGTTACTTTCCGATCCTCACATCCAGACTCAACCAGACAGCCACCACAGTTGTTTCGTCTTATTATGGCTCGTGCAGAGCGCGCATCCTCCAGATCCTGCTGGGTCCGAACATCTGACCTTGTTATTACATGTCAATGACTTATGCCACTGAGCCATGGGTAAATGGCAGTGGACCGCCATTACTAATTTATAACTGCAATATAGCGTGGCTCATCCTCCATTGTCATGCATACTAAGAACGTGTGGAGAAAAGGGTTGGCGCACAGACACAGATTCTCTTGCAAGCTGCTGCCACGAGGTGGCATGTGGGCTGCTCAGGCAATTATTGGTTGTTCGCTACTGCTGAGTTTCGATGGGACGAAACCATCATCTAGCACGTATAACGTGTAATGGTTGTCTGAAGGGATCTGGGTGGATTGCACATTCTCACAAACACCATAACCCTTGTACTGCTCACTAACACTTTCTGGTCATGTCAACTGCAGGTATTTGGTATGCGGATAGCCTTTTTTCAATTATCGACTTTTCTGACGTAAGGTTTTTAGATGTTGTTGCCCTATCCAACTGCGCTCTCCCTTTCTTTTAATGTGTAGCCTTTGCGCTCCTCGTATTGTGGATTTGTTCTCACGTATCAAGTCTATCTATACTACTGAAGGTCTCCAAAATTTCATGCTTGGGCTCTTTGGTGTTGTATTTATCTATGTTCTCACGCGTGATGCACATTTTGACAGACTGATTAATCTTCTACCAAAGCAACATCCGTATTGATAATCTGTCTCCGTACATTCCAGACAATAGCGCATCTGAACCACTTGGTCCGCGGACCTGGGTGAGAAGCTAGTCAGTTGCAACCGATTAGTATCGCATCGGGCTACGTCCCGAGAATTATTCTGAGTTTCTTCCTTCAGTGTGCGACCGTTAATTCCTGCTTTTCACTGACAGATACAATTGCCGCGCTGAAATATTCCAACAGATTCTATCCTCTCATTCCAGCTGCATCCAGACGTTGTCTGGGAAAGGATTTTGTTGTTAGTTCAGTATTTAGTTACTTTTCAAACGCCATGTCATCCACAGGTGTGTATTTCTATGTAAGGGCTTATAATCTAGAAGTTAGTACCCAAGCACGGAACGCTGCTAACGCGACAAGCAGCCGTGTCGCTTGCCGTAAAATCGTTCCTATTTCGGACTGTTTTCCTATTTTTTTCGTATATTTTCAGGAGGCTGGCATCCCCATCGATCTAGTGGGTGGTACCAGCATTGGTGCGTTCATGAGTGCGCTGTGGGCAGAGGAGACACGGTACGCCCAATTCACCCAAAGAGCACGCGATTTCACCAAGTGCTTCAATTCAGTGTGGAAGAAAGTGAAGGATTTTACTTATCCGGCAGTGTCTATATTTTCCGGTGCGTTTCATCAAATCGGTTACACATCCAGTTTTCATGATACATGCGGCACCTTGCTCAGCGGAAGTGCTCGTATCGTAACGAACTTGGCATCCTATAATAATTTAACTAGGAATACTTCCACTTACTCTTTTCATCGGTTTATTCTAGCAGATATTCACGATAACAGAACGTAGCAGTGTCTAAAATACAAGTCAAATACCTGCTCCTCTTAGCTTTTTTATTTTAGTGTTTCTAATCTTGTTCAATCACCCCCTGCGTACGAGTGTCTCGCACATTAACGCTTACTTGGACATGTATTTGTCGGTTATTCGACCTACTGAGTGTTTCAAATCATCGCTTCATCGTTTTATCCGCTGTCTCCCGTTGCTACGCCTACTCCATCTTCCGTAGCTTTATACGTTTATACTGGTTCAGGAATTCATCACCGATTGTTTTCGCAGCAGACGTTTGTACTGCCGTTTGGGGTCGCTCTTTTCAAACACTGGCGACAAATTCTTCGTTACTCGGTCCCACCGAAAATACAAGAGTGCTTGTAACTGGTTGCGTTACCATGGCAACCTCGGTGTTCGTCAATTGCTTATGTGTTTACTCAACCAACTCGATTTGGTGGCTTGGTTCTCGTTTTGGTGCAGTAGAATACATGAGTTGCTATGCCATGTCTTCGGTAAAGTAGTGGTACCGTTGACATTTCGTTACAACCTGCTAACAAGCCACCCATTGGAAGATGCATTAGTGTACCATACCGTTTGTTCGCGTGCGATGCGCTGTTGCTCGGCGATTATTCATCATATAGGGAGCAAAATTATCTTTATTTTACCGCATAACATTTACCGTTCACTATACGAACAAAGCACTTTGTCCTAGTTGTAATGCGTCATGTGTTGTACCAGTATTTTCCGCTGCTCTTATGAATGAAAAGCAGACTCTCTAACCTCAGGAAATTCTCGGGTAAACGATGATACACCTGGTTTTCCATCTGCCATTTATTGTACAAATTTGCAGTTGCGTATATTTGCCTTTCCGTCCCACAATCAATGAACTTATCAGTTCTCTTTCCGGCCCCGCATCGATGCGAAATGCGTTCGTTTTTCAACTTCATTTTATAGGACGAGAATTCAACCAGCAGCTAGAGACAGTCTTCAGGGATCGTCAAGTCGAAGACTTATGGGTCCCTTCTTTTTATGTGACAACCGACATTACTAACTGTAGGATGCGTGTGCATACCCAAGGTTAGTGTTTATATTTCATGCTTTTGGTTTTGCACACAGCTCCCTCTCTTGCCCCCTACCGCTCATCACAACCTTGTATTCAATGTTTCCTTAGAGTCTTCTATGCGGTGTTTGCGTTAGGCCACGTTTCAGAGGCGTTCTACATACTCTGCAAGGTCTCTGATTGTGTCCTCCATTTCTGCAATGTTTGAATCGCATTCGTTATTTACTCTAGTCAACGCATTTCGTACTGTTAATGATCGAAGAGTTTGTCTCTTGGTCTACTGCTTATCCCCTTCATCTCACCCTATCACTGACTGCTTTGGTCAATCTGGCCGGGACGTGAATCGCGAGGAGTTAAAAATTATGTCATTGGACTCTGTCTACAGCGTCGGTTGTGTGGCCTTGTTTGAGTTTGTGCATGATCGCAGTTTTACCTAGTTTACCCTACATCTTTTAAGCACAACTTTGGACCAAAAACGAATCTCTCTATTCAGTTTCCGTGCTCACTCGATAGGGAAATAACATCTGTACCTGTGTGCTACCTCTCAATCCCGAATGTGCTCTTGCAAATAACTATTCCTCTCCACTTATGGTGATAGAATCACCATAATAATCACATAATAACTGCTGAAAGCGACTGAACACATGCTTAGTCCTATAGGATGCACGATATCTTGGCAACGAGACATAGATATGGCAACAACAGTGGTTTCATTGTTGAGTGGGCTCTGAAAGCCTCTCGACTTCCACTGAAAGAACACAGTGAATCGCATGAAGAAAGGGACACGAGTTCAACTACTTGACTTATTTCACACGGCTGGATGTATCTTTTTCGATTTATGCGTCAGTATATCCGTCCCGGCCCAAGGTGAATGCCCCGATCCTTGTTGACGACAGGGCATCCGACTTGTCCAAACTGGCATGCTTGTCCCCCCAACCCACACACAAGGTATGCTATTATTTAGAATAGTGACCTTTTTGATTCCGCCATCCCATCACACTGCGCTGCCCTGCTGACTTCATCAGAGAGTGATGATCCGAGTGAGATACGAGTCGTTGCTCCCAAAGTTGCCAACTGAGTGTGTGCTCAACTCAACTGTCTGTATACACTGTGCAGCACTGGCTGATCGAATAGGGTTACTATGGTGCATGTTTTTGCGATTTACATCAACTTTCCACCTCGGGTTCCAAGAGTAAAGGATGGTAAAACCCATGGTTTGCCAGCTTACCGTTACTTTCGTTGAATATGTTCGCCTTATCCCTACAAACTGCCTGTTTATCTTATCAGCAAAAACCTAGTTTATCACCCCAAATCCTAATACGGTTCCAAAAAAATGGCCAGCAACTACCAACCGATTCGTCATGATCCCACAACCACCATTATGTTTGAAAGAATAATCAAGAAAACTTTGGAATTCCTTAATTCTCTGGTCTATTTAACACTCCTCAACGTGATTTCCTCGGTAGACTTTCCTGGAAGACCTGTCAACTACACCACCTTACGCTTCGGAACCCATAGACTCCGGCTTTACAGTCATAATTTTATTTTTAAAATTAGAAAAGCAATTTGACCATGTACCTCACAACGGAAAAATTGGCTTTTATCCTTCTTTTACAAATACTCACCTCGGGTGACCAGCACTCTTCGCCACACCTAATCACCAGCGAAATCATCCAGTTAACTGTACTTGACCTGTTGCTATTTCTCCTTACCTCGACGATATTGGCATAGCCATCAAAAACGGCCAGCCCTTTTCATTCACTCAAAACATCAACGTTGTCTATAACCTTCGACGTGATAAGCTTCAGAGCACACTGCTGCTAATTCAAAATGGTATGCACTCCTTTGACGAATAATGCCATACTTCCTTGATGAAATTCTCCTCTGACAAATCAAGAATTATGTTGCTGGATCCACCAAGAGCCAGTCAAACTTAGCACTAAAAATATATGCATACGACAGTCCACCTGGCATCCGGTATTCTTCCAATGTCTGATTTTCTGAACAAGCTCAAAACCAAGTATCCTGTGCCGAACTATCCACCACTAACATCTCACAAACTCCACGCAGTCCCTACTAGACTTGAGCTGTTCAAAGCGCTCACTCGTCCCATCATAGAATACTGCAATTTTATCTATGGTACAATGCAGTGACTTCCCCATGTTGAAGCCGCTACTTCATTTACGAATGCCGTGCAGCACACAGGTACAAACTTGTGGTGCCGGAAATAAAGCTTGTTCCCCATCCCGTGTGCTTCGAACGTAGAGTAGTAAATGTTTGGTACAGTCTACCACAACAAATCATGGCGACGAAATCTCCTCAGCAGTTCAACACGCTTTTGGATTTACATTTTGCCGCCATTTGATTCAGAGAACGATTGCACATTGGCAGTGACCTCTTACGTTTGTGAGCCCGATTAAATGCTACATGAGAAATTAAAGAGAGCTTTTCATGACATTTTTGGTTATATTTCCGTAAAGTTGTACAGATTTAAATATATACTTGCTCCTACGACACAGCATTCAGTATTCTTCAAACGTTTGTTCAATGGTCCATCTATCCTTTAAAAAATCGTGAACATTGTAGGCTGCAACGTCTCCAGCAAAACTTGTCGGTCATACACATTTTGCTACATCAGAAAAAGTACTCCTACCCGCTTAATTTAGAGATGAGGCAAATATTCCGTAACGCAAGCTATACGCTACTAGTACAAAGGGCTGGAACATCCATGTGCTTTAACTGCCTCATCAGATACGTCATCTTGGAAAACAGCCTGCCAACCACATTCAGGGCATTTGGAAACTATAAATCATTTCATACCAAACCCGATAGTTTCTTTGATCTGGAAGTGGTGTTATCCATGTTCTCATTCGACAAGTCACCTTATGAAGCACTCCAGGATAGACCAACAAGACAAGACGACGTCTATCTTCATCCACGCATGAGTACGATCATTTCTGTGTATACTTATCTGTTCCAATTTTAAGAACAGTTTCTCGCACTTTAGAAAAATGCAGTACATTATTAACACTGTTATTATTAATAACTATTACTATGGTAGGCAGACAACGCTTCAAAACCACGATCTCTGATTTTTCAGTTCGGCACCACTTTATCAAATATTTTCAACACTATAACCTTCTATGAATGTTTGAAGACTGTCACATGCGAAACTGCTAACTTTCGGTGCACAACCTCGAACAGATTTACGCGGATTCGCTTCAACTAAGGCCTTTAATTGATCGTCGTTCACTTGCGAAGACCATCCACAACGCTCTTCATCTCCAAACCTCTCGTAACTTTTACGCACGTTTTGAGACCGCCATTGTACAGTACAGCCATTCTTGATTCTAAGACCACATTCACCGTTGATGTACCGAGCTGTTTCTGGTGCATTTCAACAAGTTTAAATTGGAACAAGAACATTTTACGAATTTGTCCTCTGATCACACTACATTAAATGTTCTGCAAAGGTGTCAAGTCGTGTTTCTCAAGTAAACTGTCACTACCGATAGCAAGAGCAAAAAACGCGTTAAAATGATATTAAAGTAAAAGCAACTTATTAGGAATTTATTCAAAGATACAGCCGTTCAAAATAAAATTTCAAAAACCACAATAACTTTATTAACACACTATTATTTGACATCTCACATGTTTGTATACCGTACCCAATACGACTCATCAAATATCACCTTCCTTTGCTGAATGATTTTGACGACTTCTGGTTACTGAAGTGCAGCAGATGCTTTCGGGTTGCAGTCATTTCTACTTGATTCAACGCCATATACGTACACACCAGTTGGCACATCTTAATGTATCCAAGGCAAAAATCACCTAGTCATTGAAGTCAATGTCAAGATAAGATTGATGCCCTCGATCCGTTGCATTTTCAGCATCTAAAACACTACGGCTCGCCAAAATTTAATATTGGTCAAAAATGCCTTTTCGATAAACACGTCCCACGAAGTAGCTTCTCTTGTTCAGCGCAGTTCATTGATATCTTTCTCATGGTGTAACTCATTCGCGCTTTTATTAATATCAAGTGTTTACTAGGTCATCGTCTGGGAGCGTACCAGCTACCAGTCGGGTTCGAGCTACAACAAAAGGTTACCTTTTATCTCCTGTTCTGCCCTTAGGTTCACTCTGGCGCTATGTTCGGGCCAGCATGACTCTGTCTGGATACCTCCCTCCATTGTGTGACCCATACGATGGAAGCTTGCTCCTTGATGGTGGTTACACCAACAACTTGCCCGGTATGTGATACATTAGCGCTCACTCCCTTTCGGTTATTTCGGCACCTTTTGTAATCCTGTCATATTTGTGGTATTGCTTGACCTTAAGCATCTTGTCATCCCCCTTTATCTACGCATTTGAAAGACTTAAATGGAGTTATCCACGCACTCTCCGGAAACTCGTTTCTTTATCATCATTCTAGTCATACGATATATCGACTTCAGTTTTACCACTTATGGGCATTCCACCGAATAAGCAAATTTTATGAGGAGCAGATCGAGGAGCATCAATTCTTTGACATACGAGCAAATGTCAACCCACCTTTTTCTTTTGTTAGTAAGATTGTTCCCTGATTTTGGCGATTCTCTTGCAAATCTTTCGTCACCAGTCCTGGTTACATCATTAGTGTGCTCATATGTGGCGGAGCGAAGCGATGCTTAAGCATGCCTTTTGAAAAGTACGAGCTGAAAGGATTAAAACAACTAACTGTTTTTACAAAATCCCCGTTCACTTGCGCACTTGTGTATATACGCCAGACGCGAGATTACTGCGCACATGACTTTCCGGATATGCGTGTCGCATGTCACAGTCGCCGAGGAACAAACCCGAGTGTAAAGCTCTACCAAAGAATTTACTAGTAGCGATGCATGCACCAGCTATCGGACCTAACGCCCACATCCTCTCTTGCTAATGTTTATTCCAAAACCACACTGGCGTACCTCACTCAACAATACTTGACTTGTGATACTAAGTCATCGGACATCTTTAAAAAAAGAAACAGAGAAGCCATCAGAGAATTGAATGCAAATACTGATGTGACACTTTCCATACCAGATAGAGCTCCTGCTTGAGTACTAATGAATAGGTCTGACTGCATCTCTAAGCTCAGCTATTTTACAAGACACGAGCAGGTTTGCGCGCGATACAGTTCAAAAGGATAAAACCGCTCAGGTTGAGGTCGAGATCACTAAGCTGCTGAAAAAGTTAACACAAACAAATTTGATAAACGACCCTTTACTTGATCGGCTCACTGCTGTGGGCTCACATCTCCAGACTACACGGGGTTCCAATGGTGCACAAGCCCCAGATACCTCTACGCCCGATAATTGATATGTCATCCTCCTCTTTCCATTCTCTCGCGAACTGGCTCGTAGAAGTTTTGGAACCAATACGAAAAGAACCTTTCATCCACTTGTTTGAATTTGTTAAATAAATAGCGAATTTAAACGTCGACAGCAAACTCATGCTTTCGTTTGACTTGGAATCGCTCTTCACCAACGTTCCGTTGCTAGAGACCTCAGTATTCCAGCACGCACCATAAAAAAGCTGATTTTATGGTGCACCTTCAATAGACAGTTCTTATTTGATGGTGTCTACTACGGATAAATTGATGGTTTAGCGATGAGGGTCCTCCCTTGGACCGATTCTAGCTCTTATTTTCTTGGCGAAACCAGAACGTAGATACTCGCATCCGATCATCTTATCGCTTTATTCCTACCTCAGATACCTGGATGATATGTTTGTCTTTTTGATTTGAAATTGGACGATTCCTGTCTGTTCACTTAATTCAACTATGCATATCCATCATTGCATTTCTCCAGTGAGATCGAGAGCGAAGGAAAACTGGCGTTTTCAGATGTTTTGCTGAAACGACAAAACGACGGCTGTTTAGGGAGAAGCATTTTCCGGAGTTACATGAATCGGCCAATACACCCACTTTTCAAACTTTGTTCTTTTTCAGCACAAATGGAACTTAGTTTGTTGTTTGCATTATCGTGCCCCCAGAATCCGTATCCCAGGAACACTGGATGCCGAGAATGATCGCATCTTCAAAACGTTGCAAGAGAACGGATACCCCGCTGACTCGCCGAACAACCTCCAGCTGGCTTGCCGAACAACCTTCTCGTGGTGCCAGCTGGGTGCTTCGGGATCTTCCCGTTCCAGCAAATGGTTCGGCGGCAGTGTTCCAGGATGTGGTGGGTTTTCGCCTGGCAAGCGTTCTCCCCATATAAAGCAACATATGTCCGTTTAACAACACTGTGACGTGGCGGACGTGACTCGCCACTAAATAAAGTCACTGCTCCTTGCTTCGTCCTGGCGAAGCATTGTATTCCAGCAACTTTGTGCTGTAATTCTGGGGAGCATTGGGTTCCTGTTTGACAAAGGAACAAACGAAATGCGTATGAACTGAGCAATCAGTCCCTGGCTCCCATTGGGCTCAATTCCCTGAATTCGCTCCTCTGCATTGCGGGCAGGCTATTCAGCCAAAGGCTCAGGGTGTTGTCTTCTAAGTCAACACCCTATTTCGGCTTGGGCAACCGGGTAGTATCTCGCCCTGTGACGAAACCATGGACTTTGATTTGTTGTGTTTTTTTACTATTCCTGTACCTTCTTTTGAGTCCCATGGTTTCTGGTGGCTATATATATATATATATATATATAAATATATAAAATCAAAAGCACCCAACGATTCGGGTGTGTCTGGAGACCGCAATGACTGCGAAAAAGACGTGTCCCTCAGTTCCATTCAGAAGAAATGCCACCCTTGATTTACTAAAGAGAAGACTCTCAAGCGCATTGATCAAAACCCACTTAGCCGCCTATCTGCGTGTGTTTGCGCAGACCACACCATTTGTAACACAATTTCTCAAGTACAGAATCCCGGTCCAATCCAAATCATACGTTATCTGTCAAGTTACTTGCATCTATGGTGCAAGATATATTGGACACACGACCAGTTGTCTGTCAAAACGGATAACAGAACACTGCCCTGAGTCGCTACGAAGAGACATGCCTAGGATCATCAACAGCACTATCATGGAACATTTGCTCCTCAGCGGACATGAGATCCGGATAGCAGACGCGTCCAGCATTTTTTACTCCATGTCTCTACGTCATCCCAAATTGCTCTGAACGTATGTACTGGAGACTGTTGAGGCGATCGCTATCATGTTAATCCAGCCTGAGTTGTGCAAGCAGAATGCCCTTTTCCAAGCCCTCTTGTAAAGGCCAGAGCTACCTTTTTGAACCTGCGGCATCTTTGGCGACAGAAGGGAATTTCCCTCCGTCTGAAAGGCCGCGTATATAAGGCCACAGTGAAGGCCGTTCTGCTCTATGGTAGTGAGACTTGGCCCCTTCAGTATGAAGATCTGAGGCGTCTTCAAGTCTTTGATCATCGTTGCCTGCGAAGCATTGCTGGTGTCAGATGGCACAAGGCTCGAGGTAGACAGAAGTTGACTTGGCAGCGGGAAATGAAGTCACTGACGACCAGACTGCGTGCCATTGGTCCGTCTCGCCTTCCGGGCTGGAGTCCACGTGACTCGCCTTGTGCTTGGCTCTAGACTTTACGGCATATGGCTCGCAGTAGACATCAGTAGCGCGTCTGCTGCCGTCTCCTAATTGGATTGCCTGTTTAAAGTGTGTTTGGTGTTATCTGCGGGGTAATGGCTGATTATGACGCGGGGCAGTGAAAGCCGCGAGGAAGCTGTCTCGCCTATGCCGCCAGCTGTTTGTGACGGTATGTTGTCTACAGAAGGTGTAGGCGCCTTGACCCTGAATGTTTGCTTAGGGCATTAAGGTTTTCAGGTAAGACCCCTTCTCTCCCTCTTATTCTTTATTTCATAGGTCCTCATGGTTGTATGGCAGCGAAGCATCAGTTCAAATGGCTGATGTATTGCTGTTGATGATGATGGTGATGTTAGACAGTTTATAATTCGGTGCCCCTGGTAATGACACGATAGGGCGAAGCGGTACGCCATCTTTGTGTACTTTGGGTAGGCCGTAGGACCGCGGTATCACTGAATCCCGGAGTTTCATCTTGATGTTTTCTAACTTCGTGATCTGTCCCATTTACTCCAATCTCTGAAGAGCTCGTTTGTTCTGACTTTCCGGATGTTTTGTAGGGTTTCTACTTATCGGCTGGTAAGTGTATTCATCTCCGAGCAGTTCTTGTGCCTTCTTCATGTAGTCAGTTTTGTCCATTATCACAGTAAGACGTCCCTTGTCGGCCGGTAATATAACAATGGTGTTGTCTCTTCGGAAGCTTGTCAGTGCATTTTATTCGTTTACGTTGAATGGGTTGCTTTCCACTTTGTGACTCAGAGCGGGGATGATGCTGTGTCTAATTAAATGGCAGGCTTCTGCCGCGATGTTGCATGTGGCCAGCGTCGACTCAAGTGCGGCAATGGAATTGCTGAGATTGGAATCTTTGTAACTGAATTGCAGACCTCGCAGAATGACTCCTACTTCTGCTTTTGATAGGGTTCGTTTGGATTGATTCTTAATCCAGACATCTTCTTCACTTACTGATTTGTGTTGTGAGATACTGTCCAGCTCCCTCTTTAGCTTTTCCTTGTTTCAAGCTTCGTCTTGTGAGTTCTAATAGCTATCGCTTTCTCAAGCTCTGGTTAACTGTTCTCCATTGTTGGATAAACATATCACCTTTTCAGATAATCGTCCACATGCCCGGAGATGCACTAGACTGCAGTTTCAGCAGTGCGCATCCATCGGATCCATCAGGATTCGAAATCATGACTAACAGCTACTTGCACATTACTGATGATGTCCAACAGGCCGAAACTGCATTCTAGTGCTTTTCCGGGTATGTGGATGACTATATAATTTGGAAACTGGCTGCGAAGAAGCTCACTTTATTACATCAAAATCCCCTACTCATGAGTATATCTCCTTTTGTTGGTCGACTACAAGTTGATACTTTTGCCATCGGTAGTGTCCATCCGTGAAAAGCAGACGTAGCATTCGTTGTCCATGTTGTTCTGTGATCCTCCAAGCCAAAAAGTTGTTGATGGGCGGACAGTAATGTATACTTGTTGGTAGGACTTGTTTCCTCAAACATTCATGCAGGAAGTAGAGTTGTGCGTTAGTGGAGTATAGCCGGCTAACAAAACTCTCCCATCGGCGTGCGGATTTGAGCTCATCGCGTCCGAATTGTTTAGAAATTATTGAGAATACCTGTAGCTCAGGATGTGGATGAGAGGATTGTTGTGTTCTCCGACCTAGGCAACTTGGTTACAGACCTTTCGTTACCAAACTAGTTAACATCCCCAGTGCGGCTACAGTGGTCTGATTTGCAGAGTCTCGTAAGCCACTGACAGATCCAAGTGACTATTGATCGTCTCCTGCTTTGAATGTATCTTCGATTGGATCACGTGGGTCGGTCAAGTGGCCACGTCTACGCCCTGTCGATCTGGTACTTATTTTTGACCTCACCTGCAGAGCTTCGTAGACCCCTTCGAGTTCTAGATGCTTGTTGATTGAGTTCTGGCCCGAATGCCAGGCCTCGAGGAACTCACGCGCTCTGCGGTTCTTTGCTCTTCCAAGTATCTTGGCATTCCCCAGATCGAACTGATGGCCTTCGGCATCCATATGTACTGACATTAGTGATTTTTCATCATGGCGGCGGATGGCCAGACTGTGTTCATGCAGTCTTGTGCCAAGTTTCCTCCCTGTCTGGCCCACGTAGTACTTGTCACAATTTTTGCAGAAAATTTTGTAAACCACACCTGATGTTTCTTCTCTACTCAGTTGGTCTTTTGCCCTAAAAAAGTTTACTCCGAATAGTTTCCGTTGCTTCATGTGCAACGTTGATCCCGTGAGCCATTAAAAGCCTCGCTGCCATCTCAGAAATCCCATGGATATAAGGTAGAACGAATGTTTTCCTTTCCGTGGCGCTTGCGGAAGCGGACGGTGGTTGATTTTTCGACTTCAGACAGCGTAGAATAAAATTTTTAGGGTACGAATTCCGCTGGAACATGTTAACTAGGTGGTCTTCCTCCGCCTTCCTCAGCTACAGCGTGCTACTGTGTGTTTGGGCCTGTTTGCAAAATGTCCTCACCCAACTATGCTTGTAATTGGCCGGATGGTTACTGCGATAGTTTAAGATCTGATCATTGTGCGTCGCTTTTCGATAGACTGTTTTTTCCAAGGGCCCGGAAGCATGTCTTTTCACGAGCACGTCTAAGAATAGCAGCTGGTCGTTGTTCTCCTCCTGTTTGGTGAAATGGATGCCGGGGAAAATATTATTGATCAGATGGTGTGTTTCTTGTAGTCTGGAACGTTTGAGGATGACAAAAGTACCGTCCACGTAACGTAACCAAAGTTTGGGCTCCACCATCGGCAGTGCCTTCTCCTCCCGGATAGGATTGCAATCAGACCAACAAAGGCCAGTTACTGAGGCGGTGAAATCGCCAAGGACAACAACTGCTTGAATGAGGCTAACTCGTCGAATGTGTATTGTCCTGCCCAATACGGTCTATTCGATAGTCATCGACAGATGAATTCGAGCTTGAAGTAGACGGTAACCTAATCTGCACATTCAAGATCTTAGGCGTCAGCGCACTTTTTTACAAGTCATTGGACTAATTTCCTTACATTCGACCACTTTAGATGACAGCCTATAGATACCTGTAATTGTTTTTTTAACTAACTAATTAACTGATTTATTCTCCACGGTGCGAGACATGCCTTCAACAGCATGATCATCGAAATACAAACGCGTAACATCAGTAATGGCACAGGAATATTGCAAGTTAACCAGTGCATACTGGTTATTTATTTATAATTTATTTGTGTGTATGTGGGCGCATTTGTAATTCATCGTGTTGAGTGAAATGCAGTATTTGAAGTATATTCTTCGTGGAAATTCCTCCCAGCCATTGCACCTCCGGGAAAACATTGAACGACTATCTCCTCTTCTCTGGAGTCCTCAGCAGTACACATTTTATCTGAACGCTGTGGGATCAGAACCTACGCTTGCGAATGTGTGGTTAAAACTCTTAGGCGACAGATCATGAGTGTCAATCGCCGTGATTAATCAGTTGGCTGTTATGTGGTGCGTATACTCATATTCGGTGCCATATGCGTTTCCAACGTACGGATGACCGGGTTGCCCCCCTAGGCACGAATTTCCCTTGCTGAGCCGCCGTCTTGTGTTATCATCGTAGACTTACCTGGGCGCTTACTGATTCTTAGGAAATGGTGAAATTTGGGATTCAGGTTTAATTTCCGATAGCAACTCGTCATAACCACACTCAGTCGGATAGCAATCGTTTGCGTTCTGCCTCACCTTTTAACCATGGCTGTTTATTCTTATCCTGGCGACGCCAGGACGACTTGCGTTGCAATCCAGAGGTTGCCGGTTCGAATCCACGTCTGTGTGGATAACCTTGCGGTACGCCCAGTGCACGCACAACCGGTGGTGATCGCGTGGCAGCGATGCTTCGGTACAGTGTGCCAGCGTTGCTGATGTCTCTTGGCGACGCGAGTTGTGGCAACTGGATCCACCGCAATTCGGTGGTCGGATCAAACTTGTCTAACCGAAATACTGGACTGAAGTGAACTGTGTAACTCTAGGAGCACACCGATTTGTGTGTCCTGTTAGATTTTGTGAATCACTGGCTCTTGTCCTAGCTGTCCTTAGTTCTATAATGCTAGGAGGAATGTCTCTTAAGTAATAAGTCAGTGCACATTATATAGACCAAAACCCAACCTTTCTCCAGAAATCCGTCGGAATAATCACATTGCTTGATCAAAAGAGTCTTCTCACATAAACTAATATTCCTGTTGGTAAGTATGGATTAGAAGAGAGCAGCGAACATTCAAGATCGCAACCAGGAACACATAGATGACAGTAGTCTGCTCTGTGTATTTGTCTTGTAGTTGCCGGTAAGTAAACTGGTTACCGAAGTCTCGCCTTCTTGATCAGTCGATCGGAGCAGTCTGAGTTCAAGGCAGCCAATCAGAGTGACACGCCGCGCTTTCGGTGACCATAACAGGTCTCTTTTATGCAATATTTGTTGAAATTCACTCATGAGCAAACAAACAGGTTGATTCCCGTTGATCCAGGCAGAATGTCGTTTTTTTAATCTAGACGATATCGCTAGATTCATACTAACGAGACAACCATCATGAACAAGCTCAACGCAAGATAATGCCATTGAACTTTCAATTCGATATTTGGAAATCTAACACCCTTGTAATTTTTCGTTGGTTCTCTTTGATTCCTTTAAGAGATAAGGCTCAACGAATTTAGTCGCTCGCATTAATCCCGTAATGCATATTCTAAGCGTGTTTGATGTATGGACTTCTATTTTCTTGATGCATTTTTGTTCCACAACAGCATTTCCAAGCAACACATTGAGATCCGCGTTTATTCCTTTTTTCCTTACTTCGGTGCCTAACCGTGAAATCCCCATTTCGCTGAGTGAGGCACAACTGTTGAGTTTTATTACTTTGTCTGATTAGTATGAATTGCACGCTAAAAATTGCGCCTTTTTCGTCAGCAATGCTGCCTAATAATTTGCCTGGTTAATCGGGGACTTACCCTTAACTAAAGTCGCACCATCGCGTTCTGTGTGATTCGCACGGTTTATTCATCATTATCTGAATCCGAAGCATTCTACTGTTCCTGCTCATCTGATTTCCTTCTGCAGATCTCAACGCGGCAGGTCTGCCGTCAATCCTTTGATGCCGATTCACTTTCATCCGGTCGTTATATCATCTTTCAGTACACTTGTACATCATTAATAATTTCTTTTGTCATTCAAAACCACCGTCTGCTTGTTAGAAAAACCGATTAAGTGTTATCTTGTTCCCTGCTTATCGTTGAGTATTTAGTTTTGATACCTCCTTTCTCTCCGTATTCCATTCATCTACCAGCTGACGTCATGTCTGCCTTCGGTGCGAAAACTATCATTGCCGTGGACGTTGGTGCAACTGTGGACACCGATTTCACGGATTATGGCGATCATTTATCCGGTTGGCACCTACTGTATCACCGACTGTTTAAGTCAAACAAATCCGCTCTCCGAGTCAGTTGCCCATTGATTCCCGCCACTCTTAGTCATATTTTGCACACCCTACTTCCTCTGCTGTTCCACTTATTGCTCCTTATTTATGCAATCGATCGTCAAACTTCATCAACGCTTTGGAATCTAGTTTCTTTGCTCTCTCATACTTCTTCACCTTCGTAACGGAGATGGTACGCACCGATGATGTCACCTTGTTTGGCGATAAACTGTTAGCAGCCCAAAAACCAGATTCGGTGAGCACATGGACATCTGAACAATGATATTGCCTTACTTAGTATACCAAATAAAAACAGCTAGTGGCGGTCATCGTTTCTGTCATGGATATCGGAGTTGTTCGCTTGAATGATTTCTTCTTGACTGGATTCAGTTAAAGTTCGACACTAGGGTTTGCTGCGAACTTCTTGTCACTGATTCTCCTCTACCGTTTTCATCCAGCAGGATTTTTTTAATATTTTGGTTGCTTCATGCCATGTTATGCTTATATATTTTCCTTACCTCACCACTAAAACTAACTTATAGAAGAAAAACTATTACTCCCTGGCTTTCGATGCTGAAGTGCAGCATTCACTCGCGCACGGTTTTCGCGCCCTTTTCTTATGACTGCTGTTAGTAACCATCCTTACAGCATCAGGACAGCGTTCGCTGGCATTCGGCCCAAATAATTTATTTATATCCCCTGCGTCACTTTTTTCGTCTGTAGTGTCCTTCAGCTACGATTTGGGCCCCAGGTTTCGAGTGAACCCCGCTGCTTTAAAAGCTTCAAATTACCACTGGAGTCATATTTGTCGGGTTAAATCACATCGTGAAATAGATGACGTGTGCCTTCAAGTACACGTATTCTAGCGAACTCAATGTATCCGCTTACTTAGTATTCCTCGAACATCGCCCCGGAATTTCTGCCGTGCGTCTAACACCCACTATGTTATCGGCTCGGTTTGCTTTTTTGGTTATTCACTCGCTTCCGTAACGTTGCCTGCATTTCTCAACCACCCACCGTAATTCGCCTGTGGATGACTCTTCTTGGGATTTGCGTGCGTCAAAAGATGCGGATGTGATCGACTTGACCAGTAGCAAAGTAATCCGATTGAAGAAATCTTAGATTATCTTCCTGACTATGCTGGCTGTCCCCTCCATCGGTCGCATGTCGAAGATCTGGGTATCTATCTCCCAACTGTGTAACCTGGCATCTCACGGGCATTATATTTATAAGCAAGGAAAATGACACTTATCAAGTGCTCGTATTTGTATCGCTTTTAAGGCGGATTTCGCTGGATGCGATGCTGTAATCGCATCCAGTTTATAGGAACATTGTCCCAAGCGGCACGTACTTATCACATATTCGAGTCATTCCCAATCTCGGTCACAAGGTTGGTTCTTCTTTTTTAGGCGGATTTCACCATCTATGTTTCTCCGCTGTTTGCGGCAATTCCACATTTCTCCGCCTGTCACTATTTATTTCGTTCGTGGAATTCTTCACTATTTTGTGTTACTTCCATTATTTTCTTAGGTGCCAAATTTGTCAGAAATTCAAGCTCGTCTCGCTTACATCTCCTGCGTGAGACAACTGGAGCAAGTAAAACAGAGCGGAATCTCGCACTATTTGCGTCCTCCGATCGACCAGTACATGACATTGCAGTTTACAGCGTTTGAAGAAATATTGGTACGTGTCATGAAATGTTTTGTAAAATCTCTATCTTTCCGCTTCACATGATTTGCTTCCACCACACTTCACAGAGTAGCGCGCTTTCTCGACATGCTCATCAGACTGCCATCACGCTTCCAGACTCGAGAAACATGGTGCGTGTGAAGCCTCGCCGTCTCCCACCAGCGTAGATTGTCGCTGTCATCTTTGATTTCACGTCCAAATCAAACCGGTGGTGTGGAATAGGGACAGTGGCTTGGTCACTAGCGCTACCGAGGTATTGCTCGTCACAGATGTTACCACTACCAGCCGATCGACACCGTCTCTTCTGTCCGAACTGGGAGATTAGTGCGAATTCCAAACCTCATATTCTGATGGGACCATATTTATCTGATCGAGTTAAACTTACATTGCTTTAGCGCAACGGGGCTCAGAATTACGATACCAAATAAACTGTTGCTCAGTGCAAGCCTCAATCATCCAGACCACTTTCATTAATGCGACGGGGGACTCCGGAGATGTCTTTGATAATTACATTGATAGAGGACTACCGAAGATCATTTGGGAGCTTAATTGAAGTAGCCTGCAGTTGTTAGCCATTTCCATTGCAACTGAATGTGCTCACAGCGCAAAAAGAACAAAGGAACCACACCTGCTGTGTAAGCCAAATTGCTTCCTTTAGCAGAATGGACAAATCATGATGAGTCTCTACAACATCTTATTCCGTACCACTAGGAAGCACATCGGATCGTGACTGCCGCAGTCCAACTTGATTCGTCGACAGAACAGCATTTGTCACCTAAGAAGTGTTAAAAAATGCCACTTGTAATGTAGTACATACTAATCGTAATTCGATGGCACAAATAACAAAAATTACGAATTTTGCCTTGGTGGTACTCAGCTACCGTAGTCGAAAACTTTGGTGCATCGGCATTATTGATGATTTGAAAGCGATCACTGATTGACTTGTCGAAGTGTTGCTCGTTGCACTGCGGAGCAATTGCTCAGAGTGGAAGCCGGTTTCTCTTTCCATCAACTTTGCGCATTTCATCTGCTCTGTTCTTGACGAGTGTCATTTATTGGCTGCTGATCGCGTTCCGGAAACAGTGATTGTCATAAAATAGAAAACATCTCTAGCGACGCTGTAGGTGTTAGACAGCACCGAGTGCATTCTACAAAAGCGAATGAGACTTTCCGTGTATTTCCTTGCTTGTGATTGCGCGCGTAAACGTCGCTACTCAGGTGACTGCTGACGTGCTCACGCAACGCACCTCCTACTGAGTGGTTTCTTTCTCGGCTTTGCTTGCTCTTCTGAATACTAAAATATCACCACAATGGGACAATTGTAATTTTTGTTGCTGACATCTTATAGAGTCGTTTTTATGCACATTGGGGCGGTGATCAAATAGGAGACTATATCACTGACTGATGCTGTACCAACTCGTACCTGTGATTAAAGGGGATGGTCATGCTTGAGGCTGTTATCGTGCCGCAATTGTCTGGATTTTCACGGAACCACCTCGATTCTGCTATACGATCAGTCTCGTGATCAGTCCCATTCGGTTAGTCAACTACTGTGAGTACAGCTCGTAATCGCGTGAATGTGCCCAGCCTGATAGAGACAGGGAGTACAATCACGCGTCACCTGTGTGAAGTGACCACGTTCGCACCGGTCGGAGGGACACGGCAGAATTGGCTCTATCTTGCGCCCACGAAGCGCTGTCCGCTGGTCAGCTGAGAGGAGAGAGCCGAGGCGAAACCATGGCAAAGAACGAATCAAGTGCAAACTATGCGAGGTTACTGCAATTGCACGGCCCAGATGGACAGCGGAGAATCAGTGCAACCCAACATAACCCAAGCTCATCGTAGACATAGACAGAGTAAGCGTGGCTTGAACCGAGTACAGCATGTGAAGGAATGTGGGCCAGTGAACGCAGAGAGATGACAGAAGCCCAACGATGAGAAATAAACAGTGCGATTTCTCTGCAATTAAATAGCGGATTTCGTATGCATTGGGCGCTCAAGCGCAGCCTCTACAGTTGGTCTGAAGAGATTGCGACTCGTTTCTTCTTCTCAATCCCACGACCAATGCTAGAGTACGGCTCACCCGCTTACTGTTCTATCACCCGGCGCGAAGTGCAGAGGGTTGACTGGAAACAGCATGTGGCTACAAGGCTCATTCTCACTTTACCATGTGTGCCCTACGAAGATCTCATCGCGAGGCACCGGATATTACATCTTATTGATTACCCCATGTTTAAGTCGCTGTTCTATACGCACACATCAAGCAGCACGCCATGTTCCTCGATATCAAAGGGGCCTTGGATTCGGGGTATCGATGTGCCCTTTGGGACTGTCTGCTCGGGAAAGGTGTGCCCGATAAATTATACGCCTGTCACCGAATCGTGACGGGAAATGCTGATCACATCGGTTACTGACTGGATTAGAGGTAGAGGCTCTGGTTGACATTCCAAAGGCCCCGATTTCGAGTGCCTGTCATCCCTAACTGGTGAGATGAATTAATTTCGAAACTCATCGTGGAGTGCAGTGCTTTCGAGTGGGCAACAACAATTTCCACCTGCTTTATCAGTCACGGTTCTAGTTATCGAATTGACCAAAGTTCATCACTATTCATCAACAGCAATACATTAACCATATTAACTGATGCTGCGTTGCCGAACGACTACAGTGGCCTACGGAACGAAGATTAATGACAAGGAGAGACGGGAGATTTAGCGTTAAACCTCGATACCTTATGCAAACATTTAGGGCCAAGGGGGCCTACATTCTGTCAACAACAACAACAACAACAACAACAACTGGCTGTCGTGCAATAGTAAGGCGGCATCGGCGAGACGGCTTCTTTGCGGCTTCCACTGCCCCCCCCCCGTCATAATCAATTGACTAAAGTTCACTTCAGTGCGACTCGCGGTCCACATTGAGATTATGCATCGCAATCCATTCACCCGATGGGATCGAAAAGCTCCTAAATCAGTTGTAGAGTGCAGTGTTTTCGGGTGCACACCACGCAAACTAACCCAATGTCTAATTGCTCCAATCTTGCGGAAAGCCGCTTCGAGAGGCTGCTTCAGCGCGTTAGAACGAAGAGCTATTGTTTCAACAGGGTTTATTAGTGTCCCTCTCTGGATTATTATGAGTCGAGTTAACCGGAGAGTACTCTCGAAGTTGAACACTTATCTGATGGTAGGCTGGCAGGCGTTATGACTACAATCTATATGGGTCCTCGACCAACACACCCTCGCGGTGATTTGAAACTCTTTTCGCAAGTGTTATCGTAGGTAGTCTTGGATCAAGACTTGTTTTATTTACTGGGCGCTGAATCACGTGATATGGACCTTGGTAACGGAAAACGGTGGTATAAATATTTGTGCTCGGCACACAGCTTGTTACGGTCATTGGTCGTGCCACACCCGTCTACTGCTATCAAGCCAAAAAGCCAACTGCATAGAAGCGCGTGTACACGTGTGCGTACGTGTTTGTATGCCAACTAATCATTGTCCGCCAGTGATTCGCTTCGAACTGGAACTCGTTCTCACGTTCATGTGACTTCGTGCCAATCAGTTTATACGTGCTCATATGCTGAGTACAGTGTACCGCCTCACGCTTGCTACTAAAGTTTTCTTGCTACCATACCGCTGTTCTGATTTCGCTTGGGTGTAACAAGCTGTAAAACTGATCGTCATTACCAGCCACACAAGCAATGTCTCCTGAACTGCCTCCTAGATGTCGCTAATTCTCCAGAAGTTCGGCATTTGGATTGCCCGCAGCGATCAAAGGTGGTCTCTAAATTATGCAGATGAGACGTTAGGACGCTTTACAGCATTCCTCTTCCATGGATTTCACCTGTCAGTTATTGAGGTCTTATATAAAAAGTTGCCCCATGCTGAGGCTGATGTTGAATCATGATGCTTCCCCACTGCAGTTGGGCTAAACTAACTTAAACTTAATCTTTTTACGCTGGGTAAATTTCATTGCACTTTATTTGGTCTGTTCTGTCCACCTGAATAATTGTGGTTATCTTCGTTAACTTTATCACGTTTGTGACATATATTTGAATAACTTGTGGACATTTTGTACTTATCGCGGACTCGTTGCTAACCAACTTACTTCGTATGCTAACTTAGCGAAAAGTTGTCTGCATAGCCGTGTGTTTTAACAGGTATGTTTTATTTGATAATGTTATTTCAAGTGATTGGCTATTGCTTGATATCCACGGGGTTGCTGCGCTTGATGTGCATGATGACAAGGTGCCTACTTGTCTATTACCCCTACCTCGTTCATACTGGCTCCAGGAGATAGTTAATCGTTGATGGAGGGGACGGGGTGCACGGTCCTTGTGGCCGTGTTGGGCTCGAAGAGCGGTTCCATGCACTCAGTGTGGAGCGGACAACGGTCCAGCCACCGCCTTGTGTGCGCTTGATTTCCCAAATACAGCGTGCTTGTGTTTGCCTGTGAAGGAGTGTGGGCCGGCCCCTTTGATGAAAGGTTGCTCCCATCCGCATGCCTCCCGGTCTTATTCCTTCGGGTTTACACTGCATATGGAATGTGTGGTTGGAACTGTAAGTGGTGCAGCGCAAGCCATCCATGGTCCCTCTGTAGGCGCAGGCATCCTGTGGCTGGCCACAGTGACAGGCAAATCTGAAACCGGGTGCCGCAAACCATATCAAAAGTTTAAACAGGCCACCTTCAAATTCCTAAGGTTTGATCTGATGAAAGTCCTATGTCGAATCATCCACAGACGGCTATTCGGTTGGATCCATTCGAGTTGGTTACCATCGAATCTTCTTTGAGTTAAACATCACAACCCTAAATGCCCTGAACATTGACTCGACGTTACTAGTGGTCACTAGTAACTAATAGCTGTGGTTTTTAGTTGAAAATGTTTTGCATAACACTGTCATCACTTTGCTTTTTCGATGGCAATACTTTTCAGCTCCAACCGAATATCCATTTAGATCTGACATCGCCTGTTTGCCGATTTGACGTAGTTTGTACGTCAGGAGATTGTATGAAACGAGATCCTTTGTTTGAACCAGGACTTGGATACACCGTTAGTGAGGATTACCTAGTTGGGATTTATCTTTTGTTAGATGATCTGAAGCAGGGTACTTGTGACGATGAAATGGTGAGGAAATTGAGTCGAGTATTTGTGACGGGTTGTTTCAATCGGGTAATTATCCAACTAATTATCCTGAGAATGGTTTGTTCTCCCCCTCTTTAACTCGGTAATCTGACGTACAAGGTACTGAGTTGAACAGTTACCTGTTGGGATCCACCTAGAGGTTTTGATTTGATATTATTCAGTGCTAAGCTCTGTCTGATGATGTGATCTCTGGGTGTTCCGGGAATGCGTTTGAGGCCTTGAAGTGCTCACAGTAATTTGTGCGTGTTATCTGTTTGTTCTATATGATATGCCTACGTCTGCGGTACGCTAATTCCATGTATCTATGCCTTAGTAATGTGGGACTATTCGATCTGGGGTGGAGGGTAGCAAATGTGTGAACCACTTACACGCCCTATGCCTTGAAGGACAATCCGCTATGATCTTACTTTAATCCGAGCAGGTTGAATTTTGAACCAGTAAACTTTATGGGCGATATTCTAGGAAGAATGGTCATTGAATTCTTTCTAACTCCCTGTGAGCAGGATGTTGCGACTGAGTTTGACTTACTCTGCGTCCATTTCGAAGAGCCACCCAACAAGTAGTATTCTGAGTAGGTACACAAACCATCACATCACAATAGAATCCAGTTCAGTCGTTATTCGGCCTCTTTGACCAGATTAGTCTCCTCAGTAAACATCGCTCCATGTCCTTCCTTATCACCCATCACCAAACGCATTACGTTTATTGATCACTGCCTCTGCATCTGCGTAGACGCATATCGTCTGACTGAAATTTCTGGATACCAGTACAACCTGTTCGCGCACTTTTATTCGCCTCACCAATCAGTATATCCGTTCAACACTATCCAGCGTATCTAGCACATCGGAGCGGTGTTCCCCCATTAATTGTGTAGTGTAATCGATGCTTAGCGTTTCTCTGCTTCCTTGTTTTGGCCACAATCTACTTTTGGCACTACCTGTTTACGCTTTACACAGGATGCGAGACACAACAGTTTCCCATGTTTTCACTTTTGAACACCGTTGACTTTTGAGTGGGATTCCTTACTAGTGAATGCATGGGCCAAAGAGCCTTCGCACTACAATTGCTCTTATCACATGTGCGCCGATGAAATGTGGTAAAGTCGCTCGTTACTGAACTCCTCTTATCTGGGAAATGGGAACTGGTCCTCAAGTAGTGTTTGTCTTTTAATTGTCCCTTTGAGCCTTTCCAAAGACCGAAATGGTGCTTCTTGTGTATGTACTGTTGTATGCGCGTCCAAACCCCATCTTAAGAACGCTTACCAAGTACGCTTACCAGTACCAAATCCTTTTGTTGGTGGATCAGGTTATTATCCTCGCTTGGTCTTTTTCAGATTGTCACCACAGTACGATTGACCGAATATATTAAGAAAAAACTTGTTCAAACAGCCATCGCCTCTCATTTATCGCTCCGCACAGAATGACTCCTATCTGTGCGGCTGCATAGTATCTTTAGATCGAACCCAAAAAGCATCATGAATGACTCCGATTACCTTTAGTTGTCGGTCACATAAGTGTTTTACGGGAACTGCTTTCTTTCTCCACCATGGATCAGTTCTGCAAATACTAGCTAAACGGACACCCCCTTGCGCTTATAATCTTTGACATTTTAATAAACATCATCCTAACTTTTTTCCACACACAAAAGCTTTCCCCCTAACCTACGTTCGTTAACCATATGCTATAAAGCGGTAATTTCTCATTCTAGAATGTTGGTTACGAATACTGTAAGAGCGTGCTTTTGGAGTGGGACAAAGATGACACGTTCAAATTACCCATCCCTGGGTTACTATTGAATTTAGCGTTCGACCAATCTGGCGCGAAGCAGTCTGCTTCACGCACGCCGTCCTCCACACCGAACAGATCGACAGTGAACGGTTGGACTGCCAGCAATTTACTCAGTCAGGTACGCCTTTTATGCAATTAGCCGGTAATATTTTTTCAATATCCAAGTAAGTACAACACCGTGTGTGGCGTGTTATCGTCTTCGGTAACGATTACACCTTCCATTCTTACTACTACATCCCAGCTGTTGCGATAGACGTGGCAGACACGGTCATAGTTGTTCTTGGTTTGGCTCATAATTCCTGGCATCAATTGAAGTCTAATTTGTATTAGAAGGAAAGCGGGTGTTGGCCGCCCCACTTTGAGATTGCGCGTCGCAATCCATCCACACAACATGTATTTCAAATCGACCCTCCAGTTTAATCTGTATTCTTCTGATAATGCACTTTTACTAACTACTCCTTTGAGGTTCGAAATAGTATAACTGTTTTTCAAGCTGGTAACATGTCTTTCTTGCTACCTAAATCACATTGTTGGCTCTCAATGGAATTTGCCACGCTAGCCCTCATTATCCGGCTAGATTCACTAACTGCGCACTACAGCGTACTCCGTGTTCTCGCTTCGGTTCTGACATCCGCTTGCGCATCATGTGCAAAACAAACTGCCACACCGAATATGCCATGGCATCTGTGTCGTCGCTGTAGCCGGTTTTTTGAATGCCTCATACAACCACTTTACACGACTTAGCTACTTTTCTAGCAAAGCTTATATTTGAGTGCCCATTGTTCACTTATGCGCTTCAATGCCTAGGGGCATGATCTATTCTCCGTTGGCTAATTCTCCATTCTGTTTTCCTTGGACGCGTCCCTAGTCATCATTCTTAATTCGTGTGTCGAGTGCCTTTCCGATTCATCCAAAATAATCCGCAACTAAGACCATGTTCAGTTAACTCTCGAGGTCCATAGTTCGTTTATCTCGGCGTGTTACTGGAAATAAACCGATAATCTATGTTTGAATACACTCATCTGGTAATTCGATGGAAGACTGTTCTCGCGTTTGCTTTCTTACCCTCACATTTTGTCTATGTTATCACGCATTTCTGCTTCTCCAGACGTTTGACGATCACCGGACATTTGTGGATTTGGCGGAAACCGTTTGTGCTGGCTCTACTCCGGATGATTCGTCGGTTTCCCAATCAGGTTAGTCTACTCTCACCTGCGGAAGTAAATGCTTCAACTTGGTGTGCCTGGTTCTAATCACCATTTCTTGAAAAATATGTATCCATCTACCGAAGACACTTTCTCATAGTGGGTTTGAATTAGCGAAATCTCGCGTTCCGTCCAGCATCCTATTTAGCGTGGCAGTTTGTCTGTTATGGAAGCCAACATCATGGTTTCACGTGAACTCTTTTGTGGCCACGTGATTTTCACAACATGCCACCATGGCTGATTACTCGAACTGGTGTGGCATTTGGGCTTGAGTGTCGCTCATTCAAAAGAATTCTTACATCAGCCGAGTCTTCACTAGTATTATTTGTGCTTCCCGCTCTGCCGCTTACTTTAACGATCGGCGCGCGAAGAGGAGTACGTGTCAACCAGACGCTCTCCTTCTCTTCTCATAAATCTTTACGCAACGGTATTAGTATACTCTTTTTAGATGAGTGTGAGTAATGTGACTCGGTTGATAGGCACAGGCTGGGAAAATTCGCTACCACCAAGAGGTCTGCGGTCTGTGCTCACTATTTCTTCAACTTGGTTCCATTAGAGAGTGGGACTCTACTCGTCCCATTTCGCTGACTAAATTGGTTGGTCTGCTATCCTTAAACCGTTCGCTTCCACTGGCGCTCTCCTAACGACATCGTATCAACTAATACTGCTTTAAATTGTCTGACAGATGGATCAGGGGTTAGTTTAGCCCCACTAATAATATCTCTCGCATTTAAACTGAGGATAGACATAGTGAGGGATAGGAACGTTATTTTGTTGGCCCGGTTGCGAAAAAGCGGTTGTTTTTATCCACTATCGCTGTGGCTCTTGCGGTAAAGATCGTTTATCCCGAGTACCTACAACGGTCAAAATTAATAATCCAAACCATTGTGTCATTCTTTTGGCCAGTGCATCATTGCATTAATTACTGTGCTCGGTCGGATACCGGTCGTTGTACTGGTTACTTACTTTGCATCAAACGAGAGATGGAAACCTTACCACACTCTACCACAATACCATGCCTACTTTCTCTTCGATTACGGAGGGCGCTTGTCACTGCGCCATCGAGTAGTCGCGCGTATCATAAGTGGGTGAGAGTGTCTACAGTTCCCTGCTCGCGTATATGGCGGTTTTTGAAATAATACTAGGCTTCTACGTCACGATTGCTAACTTTTCTCTATTACTTAGGTCGTACCATATTTGGTTACCTATGAAATTCAGAGCATCGCTTCATGGGCTTTTTTGATGTCTCTGCATGTCATACTGACAGTAGCGATTGCCATCTTCAACGCGTTGGTCATAACTCATGAATCAACAGTACAGCATCCTGGAAAATGCATTAGCATCTGTTTGTCTGGTACTAGCCAAACAACCTCCCCGTGGCGCTTGCTGGGTGTTTCGGGGTAATCCCGTTCCAGCGAATAGTTAGGCGGTAGTTTTCCGAGACATGATGGGTTTTCGCCTGGCAAGCGTTCTGTATAATAAAATCCACATGTCTGTTTAACAACACTGCGACGTGGCGGATGTGACTCGCCAGTAAATAAACTCACTACCTCTTACCTTTCCGGAATATCTTACCCGCTTCACGGACGTCATACAAATTGAAGACTTCATTTGATCCTTTTTACGACGGCGAACCAAGCTAACAAAATCACAAATTCAGTCACATTAACAAATTCACTCAACATGGCTACCTACACGTACACCTAGATTCACGGCATCCGTATCCGGATTTGCCTGTCACTGCGGTCTCCACCGGGACAGCCACAGGACGCCTGCGCCTACAGAGGGCCATGGGTGGCCCACACACCCCATATCCGGTGTAAACCCAAAGAGATAAGACCGGGAGGCATGCGGATGGAATCCACGTTTCATCGAAGTAGCCGGCCCACACTCCTTCAACATGCACAGCAGCAACAGCAATCCTGTGTATCTAACTTGATCAACCCACGGAATTCGCACCGATCAACTTTGCCTTTGATTCTCAAGGCCTGAAATTAACATTAGTTCGTGACAATCACCTTCTTTATGCCCTTTTAATGTAATACTGGTTTGCCTCTGTGCCGTTTCTCTGCACTACGTTGGCCGTACAAAACGGTATGAGTATCATTGTCGAATTCATTCGGTATACATATAGACATGCATTGGCGTCATTCGTGACCAATGACAGTTCGAATTCAACAGATGCACACGTTTTTCTCTAAACTGAAGTATGAACTGTCACAAACTGGATAGAGACACATTAAACGTCATGAACAATACTACTACGAAACAGCATGGGTTTCGTTTAGAGGTCACGCTAACAGCCATTTTTGCCCGCATGAGAATAAGTACCCAGTACGAACTATTGCTGTTTTCTGTAACATGTCGACGTGAACATGCATGATAACCTTAAATCTTGGGCATCGATATTTGAACGAAACCGATATAGGAATAGTGACGCAACCACCATCAGTACGGTTGTCAGGTAGAATGATAAATGGACATTTGGTACAGTAAAATAGCGTGTACTTAGGTGTAGTCTCCTATATGTACTGTCTGGTTTGCGTAGCTGATTTGGAGATCGCACAGCATGCGAATGCGATTGGGTGTTCACTTCAGGCTCTCCGTGTCGCCGACTAGTCCGATCATCTGCTGCCCGAGGTACGTGCGGATTCTCAAAGAACGATTTTTGCACAACCTTAAGTATTGACAGGTGGCAATACCACATATTCGCCGCTTGCGGTCTCGTTGTCACGACAACTACCGCAGTACTACATCAACAAAGTTCCTCTGCCCACTGTCAACCATGCGGCTTCCTAGTTTTCGCAGTGTTTTGCAAATGTCCAAGGCGTAGCATGGCTGTCATCCAAGTACTCAACCGTTTGTACATACCGCTGTGTACTCTGCTATGGCCATAAGCTATTTGGTAACGATCCGCACCGTACGTTCAGGTGCAGCCAATTGGTGCTTCCAAAACGATTGCACTATGTGGCGATTGCTGTCCGATGTCATATACTTAGACACTGACTTATCATTACCGTTGGCATTACCTTTTTCTTAGTCTATCCAGAAGATTGATTGTATCCAGTTCGACTTCTGGTAGGCGTCCCTATGATTTTGCCTTCAATCCGTTTAGTACTTGCGTTTTCATAAGCCCTGGTATATTCAGTATGGCTGATGAACAACGGGAAATGTAACTATTCTCACTCTCATCACTAACCTGTGGAGTGGAACATGAACTGTCGACATTATGATAGTAGCCTGTCGGCTAATTGTCAGGATTGCTCACTTGCCACGGATTTTCCAGGACAATTTCTTTTCGGATACATAGTCCTACGTGGTCACACAACGGACAGTGGTTGAGCATTGTGTTCCAAACGTCAAACAACACTTGATGCGTACTATAGGTGGCCAAGTGCTGGTAACCTTTGATACACGCATATCCACCGAACTGGAATCATACTCAATAATTTGCTACCCTAGCATCAATCCGTATCAACCACACAATTCGCTCGGAAACTGCGCGCATCTCAAATACGAATGAGCTCGTAGATGGATTGAACCTTGATTATGCCATGCACCGGCTCTCAAAGCGTCGTGCTACTTAGTATTGGACTGCTAGTCTTGCTAGGGTCATGTAATCTGCAAATCGATTTCAAGGAGCAGAATATAGGTAGCAAAAGTGATAGTGGCACCCTCGCATAGTCTGGTGAGCAACACCGTGGAGCTTATATAGTGATGTGAATCGCGGAGAAATAATACTACGAAGAGGATGATGCTGTAGCTCACTGTCTCGGTATGTCACCGTGCTACCTGAGAAGATAGCAAGGGTAACATAGGTCACGCTGTGCATCACAGTGTAGTGGTCAACATGTGAAGTAATCGCGAAATACAACCCAGTTACGGAAGCCCAATAAAAGGTAGGTTAGATGTGGCTCTTCCGCCAGACAAGTGCAATAAAGGTAATACATTGTACCAAGTCAGTGGTTAATCATTCTAGAGGAAAATGTACCCAAGCGCGACTTACATGAGCGATGAAATAAAGATGACACAAAGAAGATGACGGAATACAGTAAGCGACTTTCCAGGTTGGTAAGGAAATGGTGCGCTACAGTCCACTGTTATTCATAAGCTCAGCTAAGTTAAAGTCCGCGGTGAGGTAACGGGGATTACAGCTATGCACACTTAGACGAAGAAGTTAAAGTACAGTGGAACAGTGATGACTTATCGTTGGTGTGTGTTGTGGATCGCCGCTCCCATATCAACTGCAGGCGATCCGTGCCGGAAGGTAAGCCAGAGCCAGTCCGATCGTCTCTTGTCCGAGAAGTAAGCGAGAATTCACATATATGTGGAACCATCAGGCAGTCAGTTGTGTGTGACTATTTGTTTCCCCTGGTCGTTCCTTCTAAACACTAGCATATCTCGACCAATTCATCAGTGCCTAGAATTCTACCTGTACCCAAGCATTTCGTTTCGGATATCACGCCTTGTTGCCGCTCTCTGTGAATCGAAATTGATGACTTCTCTGGATCTTAGTGCGCAGTACAGAGGCATTTGACCTGGCTACATTGACATCACATTGCAACCTGCAATATTTCATGGTATCACATCAAATGAAATGTAATATGATCCATCTGTCAAGCGGGAGCCTAACGAGACACGAACAGATATTAGTGTTACTGGTGCTTTGGGCGAGCGTCAGTTAGACATCGCACCATCAAATAATGATGTCACGCGTGTGGAAGTGCGATCAGTCTGTTAAGCAGAAATGTGGCGCTTACAGGCGTTTCTGAAAAGTTTCCACTTAGTCATTCAACATGATGACGAGCACCGCCCACTGCGAGTAGAGATATGAGTTGACATACCATCTATATGTGAAGTTGGGCTTCCAGGGCTGATGGTGGTCGCACTGCGTGTGAATGAGAAGGGGTGTTAGCTGCAGTCTGTGTGTCCTCGCCGCCTAAGATTGGGCCGATCCAATCGTCTCTTGTCTGAGGTATGTGCGGATTCCCGATGGACGTTCCTTTCTCTAACTTAAGCGTTGGAATGCGGTAATATCACACATTCGCTGATGGCCTCTTTGACGCGATCACAGCAATAATACATCAAGTAAATCCTACTGCTTTCACTTCAACATTGGGTTACCGAAAAAGCGTTGTAGCAAATTTCCAAAAAATAGCGTGTCTATCATCCAATTACTCAACCTTAGGCAAATGTAGCTGTCTACTCTGCTGTGGCGTTACTCTAATTCATAACAATCAGTCATCAGAGATTTCGGTTGCTGCCATACTGCGCTACAAATCATTAGTTTCCGTGCGCTAATTTCTTTTTCCATGAAATAAATCAAGACACTCCCATCACAGTTGAACTAACATACTTCTAAGTCAGTCCAGAAATTTGTCCATTTCTAATCCAAATTCTAGCAGGCGCCTTTACCCTTCCGCCTCTATTCGTGATAGTAACTGCGTTTACCTAAGCGCACCTAGATTTCGTATAATGGATGAACCACGGGAAATAAAGCTACATCCAATCTCATGGCTAAGCTTTTGGGGTTGAACACGCAGTATCAGCATCATAAAAATCGCTAGTCAGTTACTTGCCGAGATTGTTCGTTTTACCCGGTTGAGCCAACATGGACACTTGCAACGAAAGTTGTTGAGTCCTTAAAGCCGAAATTCCAAGCTCCACTCCAAAGCGAGGAAGCGTTGTAGAGTATTTGGGCTGCAAGGATAGTTGTTGATCACTATACTCAATTCTTCACTCGAATGCACAGAAGAATGTGGAATATTGTAAGCAGTAAGCACTTGGTAGCCTGGAGCTAACGCGTTCCCCCAATAAAATCCGTGAGGATAGCCGACCAATCCAAAAATTCATCAGTGTTCCTTTGAATCCGTCACACACATACACTTGAGCCTTTCGATGTTTGGCCATTGTGGCCTTTCATGAGCGGCCTGATTTTCACAGTAAGCGACACTCACATAAACATTTGCATACAAATCGAGGTCACTAGCAGTAAGAGTGGCACTCAAGTCGAACACTAGATCCACATAGACTGTGAAGCCCCGGTGAGTACGACTGCAGAGAACCACCTTTGCCGTACTAGCTGAACGAACGTGTTCCCATGCTTTTGAGCTCCAGTTACCGTGTGGATACTGGAACCTAGTGAGGAGAATTCCCAAAGCGCATGGTAATCTGCATTCATGCGTCTGGTTATTTTGGCTGTCGTCAGGCTCGGCCTTAACAACCGCGAAATGTCAACACCAATGCACTTTAATCATATGGGCCCGCAGTTGTGCATGATACATCTAGATCCCAATGGGTGAACATTATTCTTCATGGACCTTAGTAATGCGAACGTGTATGACTTCTGTTTGGAGGTAAGAATAACAGCCAAAGTTTTCATGCTACGAGCAGTTGCGCGTCGAATAGTAAGTGCGCAATAAACGACGATTTACTGGCAATCTTGAACATTACCTACTTTCCGGCTGGCTCACTACTGGCATTTTTTGAGTCCACGCAACGTGGCATAAATTAATTCCATGCATCCATCACGACGCACTAAACTGAGTTTGAGAGCACTTCAGGCATAACACTGCGCTGGACCAACAGTGTGTCGCGACTAGGCATACGAGCTAGACTGTAGTAGCATGTGCGGCGTAGAGAGAGTGCTGAGCTATTCAAAGTAAACGAAGCAGACATAATTAAGGTAATGGTAAACGGTTAAACGGCGTATCCCAGCTGCGATGAAGGAGCATAGTGTATGCAACAGGTATGCTTACACACCTAAATCCAGTACGTTACTGGTATACTTGTAAAAATTTTTGTACAATAGCCGAACATACGTGTTTGTATTACCATGATCACCTCTTTGCAGGCGTGCCTCGTACTGTCGAGAATCAACCGCTTATTTACCTATCTGTTTACTTGATTCTGTTCCGAGCACATTGTCTTGTGCACGCTCACAACACTCGCTCTCCCGTTTTCGTCGAAGTGCACAGCTTTGAAGATTCTTTTCCGGGTAACTTTACCTGCCACCCGCAAAGCAGTAATATCCATTAAAATTGCATCGTCGATTGCCACTGGGGAAAGACGCGGAGAGACTTCGATTCCTGCCAGATCTTATCCAATTCGAATGCGGAATACCACACGTTTCGGTACTGAGACCACGGTTGTTCTTCATGTATATCAACGATATCACACGCCTCATAAGTCAGGATCACCTACTCTATGCCGATGACATCAATGTATATCGGACGATCCATAGGTCAGCTGATCCCACACTACTTTAGTCCGGTTTGGATAGGCATTCCAGAACTTACATCGGCTCAATGCACACTTATGGTAGCAGCTAGCGTACTCATATAGACTGGACAACCAGAAGTGGGCGTTTTGAACTAGACTGTTCACATCACGCTGAAGAAGGCATCAAAAGGTGGACCTTCTGCGGCGTGCATTCGAACTCTTCAATCCGTCGAATTTTCAGCAGCTTCTCGGCTCATACATATGTCCACACGTGCATGTCTTGCTGCCATAGTTGAGGAGAGAACTTTGAGGAACCTTACCATTATCTTCTGTAGCTCAGTTACAGCAGCAGTTGAGAGGCCAACACCTCAAACTAGTAGAGCAGTACAGTAGTTTGGAATGTCGTTGGGACTTCTTTTCCGTACGTGTGTCCCAAGCCCTGGATGCCCTCCCAGAATGTCATTTGTGCTCTCACGCTGGTGGAGTTCAAAGTCCGAGTTGACCATGCACTCATTTCGCGGCAGCATCTCACTTGACCTATTGCTCAAGGCCAAACACAAGTGTCTCACACATTTCACTATCGGTCAGCTCCGAGAATACGTTCTGCCTTTTCCGCCTTTTGCGCGCGTTCACTAGCAATTGACGCGGTTTTTACAGACGTAACACTTGTCCTTATCCTTAATGGATTTACAGTTTCTAATGCGTATATCTAAGTGAGTCCACAAATTTGAACTTACTTCTTGCTGGCACCTTTTCCATATTTTGTGACATTCATCCTGACCATCCTTCAGCACCTGTGAAGGTCTTACATGGATAAAACCGTTGTTCCATTGACATGTTTCGTCGACAGATTTTAAATTATTTATCGATCATCATCTCGCCTACCATGACGGCACTTGGTCCGAAATGGCCGCTGCTGGCCTTCTTCCTTACATCATAGGACCAATATGCCACCCACCCGCTTACCGTCCGGAACCATGCTGGTCGAGTGGGCCAAAACATGTCGTTAGCAGGTTCATCCTCAGCTTAAGGAATGTATACCTTGTCCCATCGTCGGGCACAAGTCGACCCCATCACGATCTGCTGTACCTTTTGCGGTGCGTTTCGAAGCCCTCGCTGTGTGTGCTTAGATTACTACAAGTAATCCGGGCGGCGATTCACTTCGAAGTGAATCTTAATCATTGGGATCGTATCTGAAACAGATGTGTTAGGTCTTGCTCGCTTCACTTCGAAGTGAATCGCGACCCAGATTACTTGTCGCAGTCTAAGCACACATCGTGCGAGATTGCGCCATCTTTACTTCATTTTAAACGGTTTACTGTGTCCCAGAAATTGTCACATTCAATCTGACTGAGGCTGTGAACCACACATCGCCATATCTAGTCTCGTTTTCGTGTCCGGTTATATCATTCGTAATGCCCCATGCACCTGCTCCCATTAACGTACCAAAACGGCTTAATCAGTGTTAACCACATGTATTTTTTCTCGTTCAAACACAGATGTGGACTGTGCGAGGTACTTTTTGGAGAACCCACGTGGCAGTCGTCAACCAAGAAAACGCTCTTACGACGTTTTAGGTGGCAGTCTCGGGTTTCTTAAAGGCAGTGCCTTTCGATTTACTGATAAGCAACATGATCAAATTGCGTCTTTATCGCAAAAGGTGTACTCATATTTGCACTCTGCTAAGCACCTTGTCTCAAACTCGTTGCCCAACACCGGTCTGTTCCGACGCCGAGCGCTTAGTGATAATCTGTGCTACTCCAGTACATCTGTTAGTTTGGAGTCATCGGACGATGGCGGACATTTTTCCGATGCCCAAGATTATCCCGGTTGGGAACATCAAGCCCCCATGAGCCGATCTGCCTCCAGCTATCTGGTTAACACCAACTCCCATACATCCCTCAGTCAAACACTGAATACGCCAAGCATCACGCCATCAATAAAGAAGGATATCGTTGACGAAACCGAAAGCGCCAGGCATGTTGCCAGAATCAGTGATTTATCAATGAACGAAAAGATCAAAAACAACCTCTTTGAACCTCAGGTAGAGCATCATCGTTGTAACTCACCAGGAGTACAGATGAATGTAGGCTACATGGAAGACGATGAAAGCGAAGTCCGGTCGGCACATTCCTTCGGCTGTCGACCTGAGTCTGAAATCCGCGAACGCCTCCCACGTGTCTCTCGTAGCGCTGACCGAGCGCAAGCCGTGTCAAGAAACGTCGTTGGACCAGGTAAGTAATTTTGTTCCTTTGAAACAAATCACACCGACGAAACTGTTATGCACCAACGTAACCACCGTATGATTCATTCACTATGTTCGGTATCCAACCTGATACATCGCTCAAATATTTATTGTCTGCTGTTATTTTGCGTATCACATCTGCTTCTTTTGCCATTTAGATGATCTCTATCAACTTTTACATGCTCAGAATGTAATAGAGAAATTTTTATTATTTAACTATCAGCACATCTCTCATGGTGCCACCAATGCTCCGTTGGTGTCGCGGATTGTCACGATCTACTTATGTTTGACTTACCTCGCTTTCGGTGCAACTATGGAAAGGAGAGGCACCAGCATTATTCCGGTGCACCGTACCGATACTTCGTTGCCATGCACGTGGGCTGGGTGTGTCGCGAAGTCACTCGCACCTATGCGGATTCGGGTCGGTGACCTCCGAATTACCAGGCAAGCGTGTGATCCTCACGGCCTACCGGTCCAACTATGATCCATATTTAATTACTTCTCCAAGTCCTTCACGTAATACTCCTTTGAGGAGAACCATCGATGAGAGAGTGACACTTCGCATGTATTCGCCGTTCATTGCGGAGTAGACGCCATCATACATTAGCTCAACTGCATACTGTCCTATCACACAGGGCGAGGTAGAAAATATTGGCGGGGTACAGCATGTGTGTACTAGACTGTTCCCCAATTTACGAGGTGTGCCATACGAAGACCGATGTAAGAGACTAGGGCTTTACACCTTATCTTATCATCGATTGCAGGTTGGCCCCAGTATAACGCACCGGATACTACATCTCGGTGATTACCCCATGTTGAGACCGTTGCTGTAATTGCGCATATATGCAGCACACAAAGACACCTGTACAATCTTGTAGTACCAGATTTGAAGCGTGTCGCCCACCAACTGCTTCGAACTGAGAGTGGTGAATGTATGGAACAACCTGCCGCAGCACGTAGTTAAGGGGAAGTTGGGGTCAGAATTCAAGAAATTCCTGGACAAACACAGCCGATATAAAATATATCGGGCGCACTCCAACATAACGGCTTTGTACCTGAGTGATATTAGATGCAGCTACATGGAGATATCTCTTCTTGCTGCTTCCAACCAGTAATCAGTTGCAGATTGCATATGTTTGGTGATTCACGCCATACCTTTTCAAACGATTCAGATCAAAATTCCTGTGCTTTTCTGATGACGCAGAACCGCGACAGCCGACTACTCCTGATAGATATAACCAGTTGCTTTGTATGATATGAGAATCTCATTAGCTTTTTGGTAACAGCGTGGGTCGCTTTGATGCGCATATCTTTGCTTTTGGTCACCAAACGCGTTAATCGCTCGAGTTGCCTCCGGAAGATCGCCACAATTAGTATTGGCCGTGAACTATGCCGGTTCATAGGTGAAAAAGGTTTTGAAATACTTCATTGCTAATCCCATGTGTTACATGTACGGTGAGCTAACATGTACTTACTAGCTTAGACGTCATTGGTGGATCGGTTAGTCGAGACACAAAAATTGCGTATCACCTCGCTTCTGACAATCCGTTGTTAGTATCTTTGTGCTTAGCGCTTACAAAAGCTTTGAACTGAATTCCAACAGGTTCGGCAAGGATATCCAGCGGCATGTGCTGTAACAACTGTTGTTACCACAAGTAAAACCTAGTGCTATGCACAGCAGCGTACGTTTCATTCCACCCAACTTCTAACTATTCAAACCAAAAAGCTGAGTCCATTTTCTGCAGTACACTCATGTAGACGCCTTTATCCGATGACGGACGGATTCTTAGTCGATAAGCCCTGGCAATAAACGAAGGCATTACAGGACGGGCGGCAGTCAATGATGAAACCACGCTGCTTTAGTCTATCGTTAACGAAAGTCTGAAGGATATCAAGTTACATTTTAACATCTATCGCGCATGTAGGTGCTGCTGTTTAAAAGTGATCACAGATCGACGCATTGCTGCAGTGAACAGTAGCCACATCCGTGCTTGCAGATTTGTGACCGAGTGCACCAGCCAACAGAGATTCTGAGGGGCTTAGATGGCCTCTCTGCACACTCACATTGCAGACGACCATAACCACATCTGGACTGGTAACACTGCATGGTGAAGTGCCTGGTTCTCAGCAGATGTGTCTAGCAGTATTAGGGTGTAGCAAGCGCATATTTTTATCAGCACCATGGGATCAGCTGACACGGGGTTCCACTTAGGCAATAAGGATTCATTCCTCCTCAGCATCCCCGGGTGTGTGTGCTACCAATAGTGCAGCTAGTTCGGGAATCAAGTGACAAATATGGACTTTAGTAGTATAACCGCGACACACATCAACAAGCATGGCTTCCGCTGTGTTTGCATCTGCAGTCTGTTGACTTATCGGTTCCGTTATAGGAACGTTGAACCTTACCAATGAAATGGAGCAGTGTGGCCCAATGAAGGGTTTTGGTTGGTGGGGGCTACTGGGTACTATGACGAAGCGGATAGTATTATCAAAACGTCAGTGACACTTCGGCTATCATCGTTCACGCCGTGATTTGCAGAAATGTAAGTAATTCTGACTGAGAGGAGGTACGACCCGGAGACGACATTGCGTTATACATTACATTGGTCTGTGTAATTACTACGCACGTCCACCCACCGCTGACATAAAAAGCGCTATTTCACTTACGGGTCTATGAAAATGGTACCCGAGTGTACTAGTCATTAATGTGGTAGCGGGAAATGAAATTGTTCACCATATCACAGACTGGACTTCACGCGATAGACTCTGCTTTCCACACATTTACAAAACATGACACGCAACCGGCGCTAGTAGCGCGCTTGTTGAAAAGTTATGCGTTGCCAAGTTTGATCTTTAGATGAGTAGTGAAAGACGCGAAAAATTTGCCTTGTCTTTGCATTATAAGCGTCCGCTGATGACATTTCAAGCACTCTGTCTAAAAATGTTTGGTTAACGCATTTAGATCTCGTTGCAAAAGCCGGTCCTTCAAAAATAGCGAAAAAGACTGCATGTGCGACCCCCACAGCGCTTCAATATATTCTTGGGCGGCACGGAAATATAACGACACCATCTCCATGCGTCTAAAAAAAGTTCTTGACTTAGATTCACTAGTAGGGAACTCATAATGTCAGCCACTCAGCGGAGTTGTACCCGGTTCCACTTCCGATTTCCCACTTGGTTTTACTTTCCAATTCACCGAGTACGTCCCATCGGATTCCCCTATCCCAGACCCTTCCGGCTTCCTATAGTGTCAGTGGAAAACCGCTTCAAATTATTTGTCCGCTGCTATCAGCGATGATTAGTGCCCACACCGTCCATGATGCCTGGCTTACCAGATTTCCTCGTCTGACGCTTTATAGTTGCCACTTCTAAAAAGTAACCGAAATTTAGAGTAGCTGAGAGATGCATGTTGCCCCCGCCCGACCGATCTCGTGCCCGTTTGTATTCGCTAGGCAGAGACTGAGACTCGGACCCAAAACGTTCGGGATTCAGCCGAAACCTCTAACTTAAGGCCACGAGGTTGCGGTGCACAACACTTGTCACAGCAATTACTGACTGAACCTCACTTCAACATAAACCACATTTCTGATTGAGAATGCGAGTCGCTATCCATTCCCACAACGAATGCTTCAAGATGACCCCCACCTAAACAAGTCCAGCTTTGAAGAATTGATTTTGTCATGTTATTGATATTTTGGAAACTTTTAATTGCTGACTAATGTCTGTATCGTACGACAGAGAATGAACGAAAACCAAAGCTACAAGTATTCCGATTTATCGCAAAAACTTGACTGTTTATTCGGCGCTCGTCAAAGATTATGTACACGTAAGCAGACGCGGTAGCTTAGCTAGTTAGACAGTAGAAATCTCAGTTTACTTGCTTCTGTGTCACATGGCTGAACTGTGGGTCACAGGGGGAAACAGTGGTCATCACAGTGCTATATTTCATCTTGACAAATTCTATTTAGAACTTCTATTGTTGATGAAGATCTAATTCGGGTGGGATGTTGAGCGCTACCCGTCGAAAAACATTACACTCAGCGACCGGTTTCGTACTCGTTTGATCTCATCGGGGAGGTAAAGATTTCCACTGAGATCCAAAATGCTCAGGATTATATTGGTTGCTAGTTCTAAACCGACAGTGGAATATAGTGTTTTCGGAAAGGTAACATCCGATATCCAACTGCTCTATCAGTTACGGTTCTAGTGATCGAATGGACCAAGGTTTACTTCAGTGCGAATCGCAGTTCCCATTGAGATCGCACGTCGCAATCCATCCACATAATGTGCTTCAAAAAAGTCACCCTCAATCAGCCATTAACCTTTGCGCCAAGGCGGTGTGTATCGAACAGAGGTCCTAACTAACACCTCAATGGTTCCGGGTTCGATGACTGCTGTACCTACCTGATGAGATCATATAAGGTCGAAAACGGTCGTGGTGTGCACTGTTTTCGGGCCGGCAACACCCAGTATCCAGTCACTTCATCAGTTACGGTCCGGCGATCCACATTGAAATTGTACGTCGCAACCAATTCACACAATGAGCGCTTCAAAATGACCCTTCATCCCAATTCGGGTGTCCTTTGTAGTGATGTAGTTAAAGACACTCAGATTCAGGCTCGACTGAATTGTCGTCGCGTAAACACGGACAACGGAACATTGGGATGCTACTAAGTACGAAGAGATAGCTCACCCAGGATTCACAAACAATGCATGCAGACATCTATACTAGCCTGTTGTCGCTCCGTCGTGATTTCTACTTCTCCCAGTCTCATATCTACATACAATTGGTGGCAAGGGAAACAGTGGTTTGTGCTTTATTTTCTCTTCGGGTTTGTCCCCTGGCTACCTGGGTGGAAACGTAGCGCCCCAACTTATCGTGCCAACAATGTCATGCTATTTGTGTCCTATTTTGCAGCTTCGGATTGGTAACTGAAACCCTCGATCTATCATCCTGGCGCCTGTATCCCCAGACAACATTCGAACATCGATCAGATCACCTGTTATCCAGTTTTTCATTTTACCCCATCCACACCGGTGGTCCGACGATATGAAGAATGTGGCCATGTTTTCTGTACTGCTCTTTAAGATTTTTTTCTTTCTCCTTACATTGTTGTGTTTTCCGCTGTGTTAAATGATGGATTTTTCTACGGACGCAACGAGCCTTTTCAATCCATCATGTTAGTCACAAAATCACGCTCAACATTTCAGACTCTAAGCAATACACACTTAGAAGCGAACGATGTTGATGGCCGATCCGCAATGCGCGCAACTTTAATAAGCATATCCTGTTTATACGCGAACCTCATTCCTATCCTATTAATGATGGGCTAAGCGAACAGCGATGGCAAGCTGTACAGACTGCTGGATCACAGTTCCGGTCGAAAATCTACATACAATTCCATGCTCGCTTTCTGACAGTTTGATTGATACAATGTGTCCAGCACGCCACTGGGGGGCTATTTTACTAACAGCACCCCTCATTGGACAATTCTAGCACTATTGGTTGTGAAAGTAGTTTCCGAAATAATAAGCCCCTTCAAATTGGGTTGCGCGGATCGTATCCACTGGCAAATGGCAACTATCCGGCGTCTGCATTCACTGACTGATGCTGTTAAACGAAACCCAGTAACCAGGGTAGATCCTCTGCGGCACCATATGTTTATGTTATTTATCGGACGTAACTGGATCTTGTCCAAGTAGAATTTTATAATATCGCGTATGCGGTAGTAAACTTATACTCCGATTACGATGTGGGGTTGTGCTCGCGCAGAAACGCGAGTATGCAAATAATAGCCAACTTTCTTTGCGCTTTCCACGAATCTTCGATGAGGCGCAACGATACTGGACCTTAACGTGGTGCGACGATTTGCGTAACTCCATGACCCATTGAGTGGTGCCTACGAGACCCTTGAGAGCTACTCCTATCAGGTTGGTCATTGGTGAGACGTCAGACAAATTTAATCTCCTGGTCCTCCAAGCTGGGGGTTTGAAATGGGATGGCGTCCATTTCTGTGAAACTAAATCGTTGCCATCTTCCCGCTGCTTTGCGAATAGGCTTTGGAGCCAAAGGCTTTGGTTAAGGACCCTACTCGTCCTCTTGTATAGGTCTGGGCGCCCTGGAAGTATCTCAGCCCACATACAACCATGACTATTTCCTCAAACGTTAATTACATCATGCATCGGCCGTCGCGCAGCTCATCAAGGGTCGCCTCATCTGCTGCACCCAGCAGGGCCGATAAGCGAACACATGCTACTGCTGGCGTCTCTCTTCTTTCTTTTCCACCTGTCTCTCTTACTCCCTTCCAAACCTCCATTGCTAACTTTTCTTCTATAGTTCCCAGCTTAATTGACAGCAGCCGTAATGCCACTGGAGTAGAACCAGCTGAAGCTACCTTCCCGCACCACCCACTGGACGCCTATCGGCAACAGTCCCTTATAAGTCCAGGCTGTCCCGTTTCCCTGGCGGGGTTCAACATTTGCACTCTAAGACAAATAGTTCAACAGGCTGCACTCGCACGCACGTTAGACACGCTGGGTATTGACGTGTGTTACGTATCCGAAACCAGAATCAATGACTTTCATGGGGTTGTTGGATTAACTGTACCTGGCTTGTCCTCTCGGTATTGGTTGCACGCAGCCGGAGACACTGATGCGGCAGCCTCTGATCAAGCTGAGGTAGGTATCGTACTCAGCTCTAAGGTTGAGTTATCCTTGGTTGATTGGATTCCGGTGAACAGCCGTCTGTGTGCAGCCCGCCTGACGAAATGGACCAAAGTTGATACACGAAATAGTACAAGACGCTGTTTGTTTGTGGTTTCCGCTTACTCTCCCACCGACTGCAGCTCTGATCCTGCCAAGGGCATTCTACGCAGTGCTGCCAGTTCAGATATCATAATACTTCCAGGAGATATAAATGCACAAGTAGATCGCCTGGGCTCTTCAGAAGCTCAACCAGGTGGTAAACATGGGCTTAACTATGACCGTAAGGATAACGGCGAGTGTCTTTTACGACTGTGTACGGAGCACTAGCTGTTTCTTAGTAGCACTGCTTTTAGACACAGTGGGCGCCGAAGTGCCACTTGGCGTGCTCTTGTAGCTGACCAGCGATGGACCCACATTGCCATAAGTTACAGGTGGCGTGGTTCCATCCTGGATTGCCTGCGTCGACTCTGATCATGCCTTGGTACGCTGTCGTTTATCCATGAACTTTACCGGGAGGCGCACTAAGCGTCTCTCAGCCCTCGACCAGATAAACCTATCAAGATGCACTGCGTACCGAACTTTCGCTGTCTTGTTTTAATGACACTGAGCTTCAGTGGAATAGGATCTCGGTCGCCATGTACGACGCAGGAACCTCTGCTTGCGGCATTATAAATCGTCATCGGATATCCGAGAGGTCGGTGTATCTGTTAGAATCCAGAAGAAATCTCCCGGCTAGCTGTGAGCACAATGTGGCCAGAGGAACTATTAGGCGCGAACTAAAGCGGAGCCTGAGTTCTGACAAGGAAGCCTGGTGAACCAGTTGGGTTTAGGTAATGGAGGAAGCAGGAGCAGTAGGCAGTTATCGCATGCTTTTCCACACCACTGGTCCCGGTAAACCAGGCGCCAGTGAGACAATCAGAGACAGCGCGGGTGCACTGATACACAATAAGGAACGCCGTATGGCTCATTGGGCGGAGCACTTTCAAGAGCGGTTCAGTTGGCCCCCGCTCCCGGACACCTTCCTACACAGGTGATGCAAGACGAGCCATGAACGGTTAGTTTAGAGACTCCATCGGAGACTTAGGTCCGAAACGCGATCATAGCCCTCAAACGTTTTCGTGCTGCTTGTCTGGATTCCCTCCCACTTGCACTATTTAAGAATGGAGGTGAGGTCCTCTGCAAAGCATTGATCTCCCTGTTCGAACATATCTGGAAGGAAGTGTCCCGGCTAATTGGAGCGAATCGATTATAGTGGCAGTATACAAGTAGGGCAGTTGCACAGACTGTGTTAACCACAGGAGTATCAGACTAACGCCAGTTGTGACAAAATTACTGGTCTCGATTCTCGTTCATCGCCTCACTGTGGAACGGGAATCTAGGATTAGGGAAGAGCAGGTTTCCACCCACGGACGTGGCTGTATAGACCATGTATTCACTTTGCGGCAGGTGCTAGAGCAGCGCCACACATACCGCAGATCGACACTAACTGTGTTCCTCGATTTCAGGAGTGCGTTCGATTCAGTCGATCGATGCATTCTATTAGAACTACCTGCGCGGAAAGGTGTTCCCAAGAACTATGTGAACATCTTACGTGTTCTATACTCGAACACTACAGGCCCATTGCTTGGTGCCATGGGATTCGTTCCTCAGGCTCGAAGCACTCACTTGCGACAAGAACTGTTTTTGATTCAAAACGCTCACCCACGGACAATCATTCACATGTAGTTCGCGTCCAGGTTCGATTGTAAAAACCAGTTGTTCTCACAGTCCTAAACGCGTTGCGCATATTGTCACTGCTTATTCGCCTTAAGCCTGCTTTAAAAGCACATAAATTTACCAAGGAATGCAACGGTCAAGGAAAAGAAACTATAATTCATGATTTCCTGACTACACGGCTGAATGCTTTCGCTAATGTGGCTCTGTTAAATCAATCGCGAGTGAAATAAGATCACCGGAATGACACACGCTTTGCAGTACGGCTGCATGTTGGCTTGTCGCCTATGCCCCAGAGCTGACGAGTTCCCAAGAAATTGATTTGCAGTGTTGAAGGAGAAAACGCCGGACAGCACTAGTACTTGTCATAAAGTGAAATACGCAGCTCGAGACTTTTATAAAAATACACGTGAAAAGAACACTGGAACGTCCGGAGTAGACGAATTTTACAACCAGTGTCTAAAACACCGCTGTACAAGTTAAAATTTGCGCCCCAGATGAAGTGTTCAGTTTTTAATAAAAGCTGGGGTTGGGCGAACTACAGCACAGATTTTCCACACTTATGTTCTGTTGAGGTCAGGTATCGGTATCGCGGTTCAGATTTTCTTGATTGAGTGAGTCTCCTGCCTCACTTTTCTCCTTTTTGCGCTTAAATCGATCAAGTTTCTCCTCGACACTTAGTTCCACGGAACGCTTCATCATTGGCTTAAATGGACCTTTGTATGGAGATCCGGAACAGTCTCGCCATCGGCCCTCCGGGATAATTCGATCAAGATAATGGAGCAAAGGCGGATAGTGAGGAAAACATCCTGGCGACAGAGAAATGGTAGCTGATTATACGGCAGACAATGGTGAGACAATAAACTGTAGTAACAACAAATTCATAAAGGACTTTACGTTGCGTGGATCATTGGCCGAAACCCAGCGAAGTCATCATCAGTACACGCTATCCAAGGGTGAGAAACACACCCCAGCTGTGCCGCAATACGAAAAAAACAAGAGATTAAACTACAGACTACAAAGGCTAAAAAGTAACATAATGCTAAAATCACATTACGCATTTGGTTTGAGATGGTTGTATGAGGGGGAGCTAGAGGGGATGAATAAAGAAACTCACAACACAAACGCCATTGAGGTCCGATCTTCGCCGTGTCAACTAGTGTGTCCAACCAAACGTGTTTATCGTCCTTTGGACCCAAGCACGGCTGTCGGAAAAAACCGAACGACGCCAAGTAAAGGACTTCATTTGAAGAAGTCATCGCTTGGCCTCCCCACTTCTTCCATCCGCACTCCGGGCGCACAAACAACGCACGTAGCGGGAGCCAGGCATCGGAGCGTGGTGTGCGATATAACGGTGCTGAGCGGTTCACTCGCTCTTTCGGCACCAAATATGCGACGCCGAAAACATTCACTGATCATGCGATGCTCCCATCAGACATGAGTTAAACTGCGAAAGCAACGATAGTCGAAAGTGACTAGCCTCTTTATGTCTGTCGGCCTGATGGGCCAGGTTT